TACCAATTAATTTATAATAAATTATTTCATTCTTCCTTTGATTATTTGTCTTCTTAGATCGACACTTTTATTTATAATGGTTCCTCAAAGGCATAAGTAACCATAGTTTAAAGATTACTAGAAATAGATTTTTTTACAAAATTTTCATAAATATTTAAAGTTTTTAATTAACAAAATTAATCATGTTTTAAAATTGTAACTATTCCTAAAGAATAATTATCATAATTAAAGATTAATATTTTCTATTCTCGATGAAATTAAAATTCATTATTAGATAAAAAATGATTTAGATGAAGATGAAAAGTTCTAATCAATGCTTTTCTTCTAAAATTGACTTAATGAATAGTTAATTTAAATGTATCAAGAATCAATTAAATATTGTCATTTAAAAAATAATACTATCCAATAATTTTACTATGTGATATCAGTTTCCATTTCTTCTAACCTTGTTATTAATATAATGAATAATAATTCTAATAATTAATAATCAATTAATTCTCACTAGAATTTAAACTTATATAGAAATTCTTATTAATAGAATCCTACAATTTGGTTAAATGACCTGATAAAATTGATTATTCCATTTATTTTTCTTATTTATTAAGATATTAATAACATATCCATTATAATTATTAATTATCAAAATAGAAACACGAAATTTAAAATGGTTGAGTTACAAAAAATTACATATCTTCTTAATTTATAATTATTTATTTAATTTCTTGTTTCGAAAGTTCAATAATTTATTCATTCTCCAATTTCCCATTCTTAAGTCTATAAATATATATTTGGCCATTATTCAATCCAAGAATAAGAGATATAGATTTATTCATTAAGGTAAAAAATGAAATTAGTTGATTTTTAAATTGTATTTATGCTAAGAATTTTAGAGGATTTAATGAAAATAACATTAAATCATTTATATTATGAGTTTCAAAAAGGCAACAAAAATTAGTATTTGATGTATTAAATTTTATAGACTTACACCAATATTATTCTGAAGTTTTCAAATCATAAACTTCTTTGATAATAAATTTATTCTATATTTCATTCAACTTTTATTTTTGTGATTAATATCCTTTATTGAATTGGTTAAACATAAATAAATTAATAATATAAAATAGAAATAGTCATAAAGATAATAATTAAAAAATAATTGATACAAATTCTTTGACTAATCATATATATTATCAATTATAATATTTAATAAAGTATAAAAATCTAATATTTGTGCATTTTAAATTATTACCTATATGTTAGAAGTTTTTATATTAAATTAGAATTTCATTTATTGATGATAATTATAAAATTTAATTTAAATTATTTCTTTAACATATATATAAGAACAATTCTTATTAATAATGAGTTAAAAAAATTCTTTAATTTATCCTATTGCAATCTCATGTTATANAATTGTAACTATTCCTAAAGAATAATTATCATAATTAAAGATTAATATTTTCTATTCTCGATGAAATTAAAATTCATTATTAGATAAAAAATGATTTAGATGAAGATGAAAAGTTCTAATCAATGCTTTTCTTCTAAAATTGACTTAATGAATAGTTAATTTAAATGTATCAAGAATCAATTAAATATTGTCATTTAAAAAATAATACTATCCAATAATTTTACTATGTGATATCAGTTTCCATTTCTTCTAACCTTGTTATTAATATAATGAATAATAATTCTAATAATTAATAATCAATTAATTCTCACTAGAATTTAAACTTATATAGAAATTCTTATTAATAGAATCCTACAATTTGGTTAAATGACCTGATAAAATTGATTATTCCATTTATTTTTCTTATTTATTAAGATATTAATAACATATCCATTATAATTATTAATTATCAAAATAGAAACACGAAATTTAAAATGGTTGAGTTACAAAAAATTACATATCTTCTTAATTTATAATTATTTATTTAATTTCTTGTTTCGAAAGTTCAATAATTTATTCATTCTCCAATTTCCCATTCTTAAGTCTATAAATATATATTTGGCCATTATTCAATCCAAGAATAAGAGATATAGATTTATTCATTAAGGTAAAAAATGAAATTAGTTGATTTTTAAATTGTATTTATGCTAAGAATTTTAGAGGATTTAATGAAAATAACATTAAATCATTTATATTATGAGTTTCAAAAAGGCAACAAAAATTAGTATTTGATGTATTAAATTTTATAGACTTACACCAATATTATTCTGAAGTTTTCAAATCATAAACTTCTTTGATAATAAATTTATTCTATATTTCATTCAACTTTTATTTTTGTGATTAATATCCTTTATTGAATTGGTTAAACATAAATAAATTAATAATATAAAATAGAAATAGTCATAAAGATAATAATTAAAAAATAATTGATACAAATTCTTTGACTAATCATATATATTATCAATTATAATATTTAATAAAGTATAAAAATCTAATATTTGTGCATTTTAAATTATTACCTATATGTTAGAAGTTTTTATATTAAATTAGAATTTCATTTATTGATGATAATTATAAAATTTAATTTAAATTATTTCTTTAACATATATATAAGAACAATTCTTATTAATAATGAGTTAAAAAAATTCTTTAATTTATCCTATTGCAATCTCATGTTATAGTAGAATGAGATTTTAATATATTATATTTTATGTTTTTATCAATTTTATTATTGAGCTTAATAAATTGTTAATATGAACCCGTTTTGATAGCTAGATTTGGAATGAATAAGAACAAATTAGTAAAAGATCCTGCTCCTAAATTTGAATGTGTAGATGAAATAGATGAAGCAGATGAATAACCAAAAGAGTTTTCAATAAAGGTTGGAACACTTTATTAAATTTCAGATGGAACTTGGTATTTAAAATCAACTGATCCAACAAGTGGATTAACAAATCTCTTGAATTTAAATGATATTACTAGAGTTAAGTATGTTCCAAAATAAGAAGAAGATAAAAAGAAAAAGACTGAAGATAAGCCTGAATAAGTATTGAAAGAATTTGAATGGACTCCTTTGATAGCTTACGAAAGTTTCCCAAGGAACAGAGGAGGACATTCGATGCATGCTATAGGAGATATAATAGTTTTATTTGGAGGATGCTTTTTGGACATAAAATGCTTTGATGATATTTTTTTATTCGATGCAAGAACTAAGGAATGGACTTCTCCTAGAATTTTTGGCATTCCTCCAGTAGGTAGAAATGGATTTGGAGCTTTAGTAAATGGAGCAAGATTGTATATATTTGGTGGATATACTTTATAAGGATTGACAAATGATTTATTTGTATTAGATTTAGAAAGTAAAAGTTGGAATCAACTATTTTGGCCAGGAATAGCTCCGACACCAAGAGCAGGACACAAAATGGTTTTGACAGCTATAGGTGGAATAGTATTTGGAGGATTTATGGGTGAAAAATACTCAAATGATGTATATATTCTTGATATTGTTAATGAGAAATGGTTAAAACCAGTAGTAAGTGGAGATATTCCTATAGGGAGAGAGAGTTTCTCTATGATATCCCATCATGGTGTTGCATATGTATTTGGAGGATATGCGACTGGAGTAGTTTTAAATGATGTATATACTATTAATGAGGATTTGACTTGGGAAAAGAAGGAACCAGCAGGGAAAGTACCATCTCCAAGATAGGGAGCAGCATTTGCTGAATATGATCATAGAATATTTGTTGCAGGAGGATGTAATCCAAAGACTTTTGAATGCTATAATGATTTATATTCATTAGATACTACTACAAATCATTTTAGTACAGTGAATGCTTTTAAGAAAAAGAATTTGAAGGCTGTAGAGTTTGCAGGAATGGTATTTGCTGGATAATTATTAATTCATTTTGGTGGATGTAAATTAGATAAAACTTGTAGTGATTCATTGACAGGAGTTTTACTGATATCTAATGAATAATGTCCTCCATGTAGAAATGGAGGAGTCTGTAGAGTTGGTCATTGCAATTGTTAATAAGGTTGGCAGGGAATAGATTGTACATTAAAGGTACTTTGCAGATAGAATTGTTTAGGATAAGGTACTTGTTTAAGTAATGGTTATTGCAGATGTTATCCAGGATTCACAGGATCTATTTGTTAATTACAAATACCATGTCCTAGTAATTGTACTGATGCTGAACATGGTGAATGTTAGTTGGATGGAAAATGTAAATGTAAAGAAGGTTTTAGTGGTTAAACATGTGGAGAAGATCCAAAAGAGGAAAAAAAGAAAGAAGAAGAAATATGTAAAAATAAATGTAATCGTCATGGGAAATGTAATTATTATACAGGTTTATGTGAATGTGATTATGGATTTAGTGGTCCTGATTGTTCAGTAGTATCTTCATCTGATGATTATAAATCTATTTGGTAATTACTTAAAGATGATGATAATGAACCTGAAACTGGAACAACTAATGTAAATATGTAAGATTTTATATCAACTGGACATAAATTTTAAAAATAATAGAATTATTATGTTTCATCTGAAGGTGAAGAAGATAATTATGATGAAAATTTAGATTATAATAATCTTATAAAAAAATAAAGAAAATTTAATAGTCTTTAAAGTAATAATGATCAAAATATTTCTAATTATTAATTGACTATGGTACCTCCGAAGACTGAATAAGAAGAAGATCCTTACTAATTAATGTTATTGAATGAATGTCCTAAACGATGTTCTGAACATGGTGTATGTATTGAAAACGAATGTTATTGTTGGCTTGGATATTCAGGAGATTATTGTTAAGCATCTAAAATAGCTGATTTCTATTTAGGATGGAGAAAGAAAAAAGTAATGCATGCTTGTTTGATAAGTTTTTTTGTAGGTATGTTATTAGGATATGGTGTTGTTTTATTAATGAGAAAACGAGGTAATAATGATGAATTTAGAAATATGTCTGAAGTACCTAGTTAGAAAATAGATGATAATGAAGGAGAAGTTGATGAAATAATTATTTGATTTATATTAATTATAAATTATATTATTATGGACGATAGTTTGAATCAAACTTAACTAAAAAAGAAGACATTCTTAGTTAAAAGGAAAGTTGATGATTCATATAAATAATCTAAATTATATCCATCTAATCCAGGAGCAGGAGCAGGAGGAGTATTTGAATCTTATTTAATTTAGTCATACATGCCAATCTCTAAAATTCAAATAAAGAAACCTACATCAGGTGTACCATCATTGAAGAGTAAAGGAGGTTAAGATAAATAGGATTAAAAAGCAAGCACACCAAAAGGAGCTATTAGTATAATATCTGAATTAGATGAGGAGGAGAAGAAAAATGAGGTAGAGGGACCTTAGGTATGAATTCGAATTAAATATATTAAGTTGAAAATGGAGAAAGAACATATATCATTTTTGGTTAAAACTGAAACAGTCGGTTATGATAATGTAGTAGTTTCAAATAATGGAAGTGCAGCTATATATTATGAATGGAAGAGAATTGAAAGTGTTAGGAAATAGCCTAATTCAATTTAAGATATAAATGAGGAGAGGTTCTTTTGTCATCATGATTAAAATGTTATAAAACCAGGAGAAAGAATTAAATTTGTGTTTAGTTTTCTATCAAAATAAGCAGGAGTATTTAATGAAGAATGGGAATTGAAATGTGAACCTCCATGTTTAACTTAATTACCTAATTTAAAATTAACAGGTATTTCATTTATAGATGATGAATTAACTAATGGAAGAAAAGAATTTCAAAAATAAATTAAAAATAAATTTGCATTAAAAATAGCAACTGAAATTGTTGATGATATATTTGAAGAAGTTAAAACACCACCACCTCTTAAACCAGATCTTAATGATCCAGAATAATTTAAAATAGAATTTGAAGAATTAAATCTAGGAGAATAATTATGGTTTACACATGAAATTATGAATTTCTTTAATTTCTCATCAGATGAAATATGTTAAGTATTGAAATAAGATATACCTTGGAATGGTGATGTTAAATTATTAAGATAATCATGTCATACTATAGATGAAGAAGAAGTTAAAGAATTAGTATTACGTAAATTAGAATTATGGGTTAAATTGGCTAAGAAAGTACCAATCTCTAGAAATCCTATTTATAGTGTTGTTAAAGATTTATTAGGAGATGTGGCTAATCAAGTTCCTTAATTATCTGAAGATATGCGTAAAGAATTACAAATGTGGGAATATACATTTCATGAACCTGAAGATTTAACACCTGAAAAAGCTAAAGCTAAATTAGATGAATTTAATAAAATGAAAGCTAATTGGTTAAAAAATGCAAAAAAGAAGAAATGGAATGATGATATGGAAAAAGAATTAATTGAAGAATATAAAAATAAATTAGGAGTTAAAGTATCTGAAGCATTAGCATAAGCAGCTATTAAATTAGAAAATGATGGATAATTATTATAAGTAGGAGCAATGATGAAACCAGAATTAAAATGGAATGTTTTTAGAAGGAGAAGATATTAATCTACTTATTTTTATGATCTTCTTAGAAAAAAAACTATTCAAGATTCAGATATTGAAGGAAAAAAAATTGGATTAAAAATACATTTAAAATTAGCTAATAGACCTGATGTTTATGAACTTAAAGAAAAATTTGAATAAACATTACTTAAAGAATAAGAAGAAGAAAATAAAAGATTGGAAGAAGAAAGATTAGAAAAAGAAAGATTAGCTTAAGAAGCAGCAAAAAAAAAAGGTAAAGGTAAACCAGTTAAATAAAAAGAAGTTGAAGTTGTATAAGGTAATATATAAAATTAATATCAATAGTCTAATAAAAGAATTATGATTTAAGTCATTTAGATTAAGCAACACTTCAAGAATGTGTTGACACTATTAAATTATTGATGGAAAGATAAGCTAAAATTGTTGTATTACTTGTAAGTTATGATAATCCAAGTGGAAAATATAAGTTTACATCTTCAACTAAATTCTTTTATGAATGGTTAAAGACACATGTAGAATGTCCAGTCTATTTTAATGATGCTATCATTGAAAATTTAGATGAATAATTAGAAACATAAACATATTAAGAAAATAGTGTTTTAGTATTAGAAAACTTATTCTTTTATCCAGATGAAGTTGGTTACACTGAAGAAGAACCTGATATTGAATCAAAAACACCTTTTAGAACTCTATTACCTTATGGCAATATTTATATTATAGGAGATAGAGTGAATTTCTTTTCAAGATTTTATCCTTCTATTATTCATATGAATGCAGATTAAACAATTTTATCTTCAGCTATTGCCAAAGATATACATATATTATGTCATAATCTTATGGGTTGTTAAGAAAGAAATGGAACTCTTNCTGAAATTGTTGATGATATATTTGAAGAAGTTAAAACACCACCACCTCTTAAACCAGATCTTAATGATCCAGAATAATTTAAAATAGAATTTGAAGAATTAAATCTAGGAGAATAATTATGGTTTACACATGAAATTATGAATTTCTTTAATTTCTCATCAGATGAAATATGTTAAGTATTGAAATAAGATATACCTTGGAATGGTGATGTTAAATTATTAAGATAATCATGTCATACTATAGATGAAGAAGAAGTTAAAGAATTAGTATTACGTAAATTAGAATTATGGGTTAAATTGGCTAAGAAAGTACCAATCTCTAGAAATCCTATTTATAGTGTTGTTAAAGATTTATTAGGAGATGTGGCTAATCAAGTTCCTTAATTATCTGAAGATATGCGTAAAGAATTACAAATGTGGGAATATACATTTCATGAACCTGAAGATTTAACACCTGAAAAAGCTAAAGCTAAATTAGATGAATTTAATAAAATGAAAGCTAATTGGTTAAAAAATGCAAAAAAGAAGAAATGGAATGATGATATGGAAAAAGAATTAATTGAAGAATATAAAAATAAATTAGGAGTTAAAGTATCTGAAGCATTAGCATAAGCAGCTATTAAATTAGAAAATGATGGATAATTATTATAAGTAGGAGCAATGATGAAACCAGAATTAAAATGGAATGTTTTTAGAAGAAGAAGATATTAATCTACTTATTTTTATGATCTTCTTAGAAAAAAAACTATTCAAGATTCAGATATTGAAGGAAAAAAAATTGGATTAAAAATACATTTAAAATTAGCTAATAGACCTGATGTTTATGAACTTAAAGAAAAATTTGAATAAACATTACTTAAAGAATAAGAAGAAGAAAATAAAAGATTGGAAGAAGAAAGATTAGAAAAAGAAAGATTAGCTTAAGAAGCAGCAAAGAAAAAAGGTAAAGGTAAACCAGTTAAATAAAAAGAAGTTGAAGTTGTATAAGGTAATATATAAAATTAATATCAATAGTCTAATAAAAGAATTATGATTTAAGTCATTTAGATTAAGCAACACTTCAAGAATGTGTTGACACTATTAAATTATTGATGGAAAGATAAGCTAAAATTGTTGTATTACTTGTAAGTTATGATAATCCAAGTGGAAAATATAAGTTTACATCTTCAACTAAATTCTTTTATGAATGGTTAAAGACACATGTAGAATGTCCAGTCTATTTTAATGATGCTATCATTGAAAATTTAGATGAATAATTAGAAACTTAAACATATTAAGAAAATAGTGTTTTAGTATTAGAAAACTTATTCTTTTATCCAGATGAAGTTGGTTACACTGAAGAAGAACCTGATATTGAATCAAAAACACCTTTTAGAACTCTATTACCTTATGGCAATATTTATATTATAGGAGATAGAGTTAATTTCTTTTCAAGATTTTATCCTTCTATTATTCATATGAATGCAGATTAAACAATTTTATCTTCAGCTATTGCCAAAGATATACATATATTATGTCATAATCTTATGGGTTGTTAAGAAAGAAATGGAACTCTCATTCTAGGTGGAGATCTTACAGGTGATAAATTATTAACAATTGATTAATTATCTGGACATCTATCATCAATAATTTTGTTAGGTAAACTAGGATTATCATTCTATTTAACTATGTATGAGATACCAAGTGATCTTGTGTCAGAAGCTGTAAGAGATGTTATTAAAAATCTACTTAATGTTTTAAGAGATGAATCAACTGAAAAACCTCCATAAAGATTAACAAGAATCAGTCATCTACCTGAACAACCAAAACCTAAAGCAAGATTAATATGTCCATAAGATTATCTAATTACTACATTACCTGAAGGATATGATCCTGCTAATTAAGAACATGTATAGATTGTGACTTCCACTATTGCACCTTTTGTACCTGAAGGCAATATTTAATTAGAAGAAGGAAAGATACTCTTAGATTATGGACCTAAAACTATTGAAATTGTTAAAGAGGAAATATAAAATGCTTAAAGATTATTTTGGATAGATGATGCTAACCTTGGTTTATACAATATTTAAAAATAAATAACTGTCCCTGATTTTGAAGCTATTGCTTTACTTAAGAAATTAAGAGAAGAAGAAGCTGAAAGAGAAAGAGAGAGATTGGAAAAATTAAAAGAAAAAAAAGGAGGAAAAGGAAATAAAAAAGGTCTCAAAGAAGAACCACCTAAGGAACCTATTAATAGTAATATATTATGAAATATTAATTTTTTAGTTAAAACTACAAAAGAAATTAATGTTCCAGTATTNATTGATGGAAAGATAAGCTAAAATTGTTGTATTACTTGTAAGTTATGATAATCCAAGTGGAAAATATAAGTTTACATCTTCAACTAAATTCTTTTATGAATGGTTAAAGACACATGTAGAATGTCCAGTCTATTTTAATGATGCTATCATTGAAAATTTAGATGAATAATTAGAAACATAAACATATTAAGAAAATAGTGTTTTAGTATTAGAAAACTTATTCTTTTATCCAGATGAAGTTGGTTACACTGAAGAAGAACCTGATATTGAATCAAAAACACCTTTTAGAACTCTATTACCTTATGGCAATATTTATATTATAGGAGATAGAGTGAATTTCTTTTCAAGATTTTATCCTTCTATTATTCATATGAATGCAGATTAAACAATTTTATCTTCAGCTATTGCCAAAGATATACATATATTATGTCATAATCTTATGGGTTGTTAAGAAAGAAATGGAACTCTCATTCTAGGTGGAGATCTTACAGGTGATAAATTATTAACAATTGATTAATTATCTGGACATCTATCATCAATAATTTTGTTAGGTAAACTAGGATTATCATTCTATTTAACTATGTATGAGATACCAAGTGATCTTGTGTCAGAAGCTGTAAGAGATGTTATTAAAAATCTACTTAATGTTTTAAGAGATGAATCAACTGAAAAACCTCCATAAAGATTAACAAGAATCAGTCATCTACCTGAACAACCAAAACCTAAAGCAAGATTAATATGTCCATAAGATTATCTAATTACTACATTACCTGAAGGATATGATCCTGCTAATTAAGAACATGTATAGATTGTGACTTCCACTATTGCACCTTTTGTACCTGAAGGCAATATTTAATTAGAAGAAGGAAAGATACTCTTAGATTATGGACCTAAAACTATTGAAATTGTTAAAGAGGAAATATAAAATGCTTAAAGATTATTTTGGATAGATGATGCTAACCTTGGTTTATACAATATTTAAAAATAAATAACTGTCCCTGATTTTGAAGCTATTGCTTTACTTAAGAAATTAAGAGAAGAAGAAGCTGAAAGAGAAAGAGAGAGATTGGAAAAATTAAAAGAAAAAAAAGGAGGAAAAGGAAATAAAAAAGGTCTCAAAGAAGAACCACCTAAGGAACCTATTAATAGTAATATATTATGAAATATTAATTTTTTAGTTAAAACTACAAAAGAAATTAATGTTCCAGTATTCAATCTCACTAATAGAGAATTAGGTTTATTTATTTATGAAATGAATCAAGAAAAAAAAGATAGACATTAACATGCCTAAAAATAAGGACATTAAGTTGCTTATGATTTCAATTAAGATTGTGTAGTCACTATTATTGGTGAAAAATTGGAGAAAGTACTTAATTAAGAAGATTTTCAAAATATAGGAAATGAGGAAGAAATTGAATAAGCTCCAGAACCCAGTTAAAAAGGATCTTAATTCCCTTAGAGTGAGGCAGGAGAAGATTAAAAGGAATAAGAGGAAGAATAAATTGAAGAAGAGAAAGTTAAAATTAATCAAGTATATTTAAATATCTTAAATCTTAGGTGAAATAATTATTAGCTGATTTCTTTATATAAGATTAAGATTTCACTCTTTAATTTCTTGCTGGAAATTAAATTCATATCTAAACACTTGATGAGTATCCACCAAAACCTGAATCTGAAATTAATGAGGAGTAATATTTTGAAGAGGATAGTACTCCTTGATATATATATATATACATAATATATATTATAATTAATGTAATAATTTGATGTGCCTTTTATCAGGAGATAAAAATAAAATACTGATATTTGGAAGAGTCATCATTTTAAGGATTACTCATTTGAAGAAGAAAGATCTTCACATATATATAAAAAATAGCATAGAAGAAAAAGTTGTTATTGTTAATTATGTGGAAAAATGAGTTTATTTCAATATACACAAATGAATCTATCGACTTGTATCAATTTCTTTACAAATAATCATATCGTACAATAAAAATTACAGAAACAATAAGAACTTCTAAAAGTAAAATATTAGCCCAGAAATAATACTAATATATCTTATTCTTTTCGAAGTAAATCAATAATTAATTTTCAACGCTTATTATTAGAGGATATTGCAAAGTCTAGATATAGAAAAAGTTGTGATTGTTCTTAATGTGGTACTCTAAATAAGTTTTAAATAAAATGGCAAAATTATAAAATGATCAAAAAATAATAATAATTTCCTATTAACTAATTTAGAATCAAGAAAACAATAAAAAGATATTAATTTAGAAAATAATATACCGAATAATTCTCTCCTGCAAAAAATAGTGAACTTAGACATTTAAAAAAGAGAATGATTGAATTGGATTTAAATGATAACCAATTATTGTCCAAATTTCAATTAAAAAAAACTAAAAATCCAAGAATACTGCATCATCAATAATCATTAAATTGTTTTGAAATATCATCAAGATAAAGAACTGATATCTTATCTCCTCTTGTAAATAAAAGAAAACATCTACCTTATTTGTAATTTAACTAAAATAGAAGCCCTCAATAAAAATAAATTCCAAAATAACCTATTTCAAACTAATAAAGAGATAATTTCAAAATACATCATTAAAAATCTGGAATTTTTTGATCATTCTTTAAATTTGATATTTAATTATTATATAATTATATAATCAAATACTTTTTTTATAAATGTCCCTCACTTCTATTATTCTCTCAGAATAGAAGAAACAAAGGAGCTTTTAAATAGTCTAAATATAGAATATTTGGGATGAATAAAAGTAGAGAAGAAAAAGTTGTACATGTTATGATTGTGGAAAATTGAACTAATTTTAATACAAGCATATGAATGTTCCTAGTTATATACAATAATATTCAAAAAATAAAACTAATTTAAACGATAACTTTAAATCTTCATCTTAAAGACATATCAGTTATGATAATATTAGAATTGGAATTAATGGTGAGGATAAAATCTTTTAATGTTTACATACATTAAAAATATATAAGAGATAGAAAAGTTGTGATTGTTAACAATGTGGGATGAATAGTAAATTTCAAGAATTTAGTAAATCAATAAAAATAAATAGAGAGAAAAATAAAAAAATGAATAAAAAGTAGAATTTAGAATAAATATTCAAAGGAATAAGTCCAATAAGATAAGTTTAATAGGATGATAATTTTGATATAGAGAATAATTAAAATAATAAGAACATTTGCAATCTTTTTAATTAAGTTGTTCATAAAACATTTAAGAGATAATTAGTTAAACCTAAGAAATAAATAAATGGAGGATAATAAAATAGAAATATTCTAAAGAGTGAATAAGGAAAATATAATTTAAAGACAAATTCTAGTAGTAGAGAATTTGGAGGGAAATGTGATACCAATAAGAAACTAAATCTTCCAATGGTTAAAAGTTCTTATATGAAAACAATCGAAATACTAAATATTTATGAAGTTTAAAAATATAATCCAAAATTTAGTAATCGTTAATGAATGTCTATAATTAAATATTAATATTTATTAAATAAATAAGTTTAAGTATGAAAAGGTATAGAAATAGAAGGAATGTAACGATTAAAAGAGAAATAGTTGAAAAAAAAAATAAATTTTGTCAAAGTTTTGTAAATCTCGAAAATAAGTATATTTTGGATAATTAAAATGGGTAAACCAGAAGAATTAGTTGTTATGGAGATGAATTTGGATAGATGAGTAAATTTTAGATTAGATTTAAAAACATTTTACCTGAATATAAAACTAAATAATCTATTCATGAGATAGAGATGAGAGAAAAAAGAAGAAGGTAAACACAAATTAGGGAGGATGTGGCTATTCTTAAATTTAGAAGAGGAATTTAAGATATTAGTAAAAGCAAAACAATAATCTAAACATTAAAAATGCTCAAGACATCTAATTAAGATTTTGATGAGATGGTGAAATAAATTAAGTAGCCATCTAATAATAAAAATATAAAGAAAAGACGAAGATATAGTTGTTATTGTGCTTAATGTGGAAAAATGAGTGAAAAATAAATAAGACATTAAAATGATCCATTTTTTGACAAATTTAATAAGTTTTTATAATAAATAAAAAACTAAAGCAGTACATCCAGAAGACATAAGTATTAAGATAAACTTAAATCTCAAATTTAATAGGAAAACATAAAAATATCATATATTAGTTAAAATAAGTCGCCCATCAACAAATATAAATCTGTCTCGAGAACTACTAAATTACTTCTAGAGTAATCTCAAATTAAGATATTTCAATACAGTTAAAGATATTCGGCATTTCCATCTCATAGAATTAAAACTGAACCAACGTAATCATCACCTCGATCTTTTAAATTGTATCCAATTCAACTCAACAAATTAAGATAAGGTTAATCAACATATAAATCAATTCATTTAAAAGATAGTTTCAAGACATTGGCTAGTATATATAGATGAAACATATAATATAAGAATATCTTATTATTTAAAAATTCTATTTCCATTATATTGAATTAAAATAAATTAAATATGATAAATATGAAAAGAAATCGTGTGATGTCAACTGATGGAGTTTTAGCAGTAATTACAGATTAACTCTTAACAGAAAATAAGCCTCGATTCAGAAAACTAACAAAGAAATAAATGATGCAAAAAAAACATACTAATGATTTAGATTCCTCATTTGAAATCATTGAAAAGAATACTCCTTAATTGAAGAATAAAAAAATTAAAATAACTAAATAAGCATTAGATCATTTTATAAATAAGACATTTGTAGTTATTAGTGATGATGAAGCTGAAATATTAATTAATCATTCCAATTCAATCAAAAATGAAACAACTTCTAGATCCTCTTCAATCTTATCTTTTTCAAGCAGCAATTTAGAATAATGGGAATAAGCAGAAAAAAAAGTCAAAATAGGTGAGAATTGAATATCTATATATGTATTAATAAAATAAATATATTATAATGCAAAGATCGTTTCCAACATAATCTCAACCTGTTTTAAGCAGAAAAAGTAAAATTAGTGAATTAGAAGAGGTTATTTGATCATTTGAAACTAGAATTTGTTTTCCAAGTTGGATAACCTCTTTATTGATTAACCAAAATAAGAATAAGTTTAAACATTACAACCAAAAGTTGATTTACTTGAATAGGCAAAATAGAGAATTTAATAAAAGAAAGAAGCAAATCCTTCATTTTTTGAAGAAGGAAGAAAGAAATTAGCTGCATAGAGAAAAAAGGACACCTTTTTAATCACAGCAGTTAATTCAATGCCATAAAAATAATAAAAAAAATAGAATCAGAATAAAGAGTATTATAAGGAAGAAACTGATTGCAATAATATGCTTAAAGATTTGATTGCTCAAGAAGAAAGACCTTATGATGATTTAGCTGAATTAAGAAGAATGATTGCTTAAACAGAATAATGTATGGTAGAATATGTGGATGACATGTATAGAAATTATTAATTAGGCATAAATTAAATAAGAATGTAGTAAAATATAATAATGAAGCAAGAAAAATAGGAATGGGTGTTGATGTTTAATTGTTTGACTTTGTAGATCATAAATGCAACAAATATTTAACCAAGTCTAAGACTACTACGATTATTAAAGATAAAAAATATTGAATTGCTATAACGTATAAATTACATAATAATATTCATTAAATTATTAAATTATGAATTATATAAATGAACAAATCCTACGCAATATAATATATCATTTTTTAAATCCACAATTTAAAAATTCATGTTATTGTCCTATTACTAAAAAGTTAAGCCTCTTATAGCTGCTCATAGAGGATTATCCAGTCTTTACCCAGGTATTTTATAACTTAAACGTAGAAAATACATTAGAAGGATTTAAATCTGCACTCTAATTTTCTGATTTTATTGAATTAGATGTCGTTTTAAACAAAGATGGACTACCTGTAGTTTGTCATGATGCTTTTTTAAGTTTAGTAAGTGATGTTAAAAATCATAATAAATTTGAAAATCGAAAACAGTCTAGAATTCTATAAGATAAAGAAAAATCAGATTGGTGGATTTCTGATTTCACTTTTGAAGAATTGAAAGAATTACATTTGAGTTAATGTATTAATAATCGTAAAAGTGAATATGATGGACATCTTTAAATACCTTCTTTAAAAGAAATATTTGAGTATTTTTTGAAGTATAATTAAAACACTGACAATAAGAAAGGAATCCTTTTAGAAATTAAAGATTTCGAATATCATTACAAATACTGTAATATTAATATTGCTGAAATTATACATAACTTTTTATAAGAATAAGGTTTAAGTACACTTAATGAATGCTCTTAAAAATTACCAATAGTGATTATGGCATTTGATAAATAAGTTCTGTAATATTTTAGTGCACGTTCTGATCTTCCTTTAGCATAATTGGTTTGGTTTGAAGATAAAAATATTCCAACGATAACTGAAATTGTTCAATATGCTAAAATAGTTGGTTTAGATTTAAGATTAGTTTGGTAAAATAATTAAACTCATGAATATTATAATGAGGCTAAAAAGAATGGTTTAATTATATATGGATGGACATTTTAAGATGATAATGAAGATATCAAGAAATTATTTGATGAATAAGACATAGGTAAAATATATTAAAGGAGTAGCACATTGCTTTAAGGAATTATAACAGAATTTCCTTAAGAAGCAGTAAAATTCATCCTTTGAATTATTTTTATTCATTTTCTTTGCTTATAAAACCAATATATTTGATAATACTTATTAAAATAATTGGTATAAGTATTACAAATTACAAATATTTTTATACAATATAAAAACAATAAAAAATGTTTAATAATATTATTTAATCAAAATATTACCCTATTATTGGAGGTAGTTTGATTATACTCTTCTACCTTCATTATTCTTTACCATTATTGACATTAGCTTATTTTATAATAGCATATTATGTTCATAAATATTAAAGAGGTCCAATAAGGATATATAATTAAGTTAATCTGGAAGGCAAAATTGTTATAATAACAGGAGCAAGTGCAGGTATAGGAAAGGAAACAGCAAAAAGATTGGCATGGTAAAATGCAACTATTATATTTGCGTGTAGAGATGAATTGAAAACAATGAAAGTTATTAATGAAATTAAATAAGAAACCGGAAATTAAAAATTACATTATATGAATCTTTAATTGGATGATTATGATAATGTAAAAGAATTTGTAAAGAACTTTAAAATTAAATTTGGTATATTAGATATTCTTATTAATAATGCTGGTATTGCATAATGGTGGCACAAATATAATAAAAATAATCATGAATTAGTTTTTTCCACTAATTACTTAGGGCATTTTCTTTTAACAAAACTATTATTAGATTCAATGAGCAAGGAAAGTAGAATAATAATAGTTTCATCTGTTATGCACGAATTGATTAGATCTAAATTGAATTTTAATGATGTTTTAAATGGTAAATATTTAGAAAATTATAATAATACTAAATATTGTGGAGTATTATTCTGTTTAAAGCTATCCTAAATATTAAAGAATACAAAAGTAGTAGCTCTTCATCCTGGAGTAATAAAAACGGAACTCTTAGATAAAGCTGGAAATACAATACTATTGTAAATCATATAAAAGCTTTTGTTTTGGTTTTTCAGACCTATGACTTTATCAGTTGAAGAAGGTGCTGAAACAACATTGTATTGTGCTTTAATGCCTTACAGAGAACTATTGAATGGCGGATATTATGAAAAAAACAAATTAAGCAAGTGCAGCAAGACTATTTAGAAATTGAATTAAATTGAAGAATTATGGGAATTCAGCAATTAAATATTAAAAGAATATTTATGAGTTTGAAATTATTCAATTTGGTGTTCAAAATAAACCAATTATAATTATTTTCTATATTTTATAAATATGAATCTTAATCCAAAAATAATTTATTCAAGATTAGAGTTATATTATTAATATTAATTAATTTTTATCATTGAAATCTCAATTGGAAACAATCATAAAAGAAAACAAATATTTTTAAATGATAATCAAACCTTAGAATTTCGTCTAAAATAATTTAATATAAAATACTAATATATACATTTAAATTATAAATCAAATGTTATTATAAAAATTCAATAATAATATATAAGTAAGACTATCCTATTTAAATTACTTCTAAAATGATTAAAATATAAATTTTCATCCAAATTATTAACTTATCATAAAAAACTTAATTTTTAAATCAAAAAAATACTCACTCTAAAATTTTTAAGAAACACAAAATCATATTAATTTAAATACAAATTATAATTAGATTGAATGAATATGGGAAATTTTAAGGAATAAATAAGGTTATTATGCATGTTTTCTTAATAAATAAAGTATACTTTGACTAGTTTATAATTGAAATCAAAACCAAATTCTCGATATAGCACACATGCCCGAGTGGTCTAAGGGGCCGCACTCAAGATGCGGTGAGTCATTCTCGCGTGAGTTCAAATCTCACTGTGTGCAATTTTTTTAATTTATGATCATTTTAAATTAATATTTTTATATTCATTTAATTTTTTTTTCAATAACCCATAAACATGAAGTTGATAATTTATCTGTCATTATAACTTCATATTATGTTTATTGCATTTCTGATAATGATGGTCCTTAACACAAATATTTATTGATTGGTTAATAAAATAAAAAAAATGGTTTACCCACAATGAGTTGTTAATTATCAATAGCTATAAAATGATAATTATATATATACTTGAAATAATAAATGATTATTATATAGGTGATGGCATACCCCTGACTTAATTACCATTTTTAGATTTGGCTAGATTTATCTCATCTACACTTAAAAATTTGATTGTTTCTTAATGAACTAAATTTATTGGCATTTAATCTTGGATCTACTTTTAGGCCATTTAAAAAGTTTATTATATCACCCACCAATCATTAACTATCATTTTTAATAAATAATATTACCATCTCTTTCATAACTAAAACATGTAATTTCTTGCATTCCAGTAGAAGAATATTTATTTTTATGAGAATGTAAAGAGTATCCACTTTTATAATTTCTTATGATTATTTTATCACTATCAAAGATTTCTTGATTATTTATCTTCAATTACCAAGTTGGTTTAATTTCAAATAATTATTATTTCTCTGGATTCAATTTAATAATTTCCCAATTATTATAATCGCTATCCTTACTGCAAGATATTTCTTTATATTCTTTGACCTATTTGGAAGTATAATTTTTATTTGAGGCTTATAAAAAATGAGTTAATTTTGTAGTTTAGATCTTCAATTGTACACCACTCTATATATTATATGACTTTGTTTAAAATATTTATTCTCCCTGTTATTGCAAAATCAATGGATAATTTTCTTATCTTTTCTCATGCAAGGAAACCCTTACTTAGTTAGAAACTTCTGAAAATTTCTCAAATTCATATATCAAAAACAATTTAGTACTTAAATTCTTTAGAAAAACAATATCACCATAATTTATTCTATTTATATCATCAAACATTTTAATTATAGTCCAAAGTGTATAATGGTTATTTGGATCATCACTTCCAACCACGTAATAATTATTTATGTTTGGAGTACTACTAAACAAAAATCCCTTCTCTTAAGTATTAAATCCTGTAGCAGTCAAATAGCTTCCTGTTTTAGTATTTCTGATTTGAACCACTTCACTAACCAGGATTTCTTAATCAAATTACTACATAATTTTTTATCTATTATATAAAATTTCTTTAATAACAAAAGACTTAATGATAAACAATTCTATATATGGAACGCTCTTTATATTAAATTTCATCTCTTTAAATCAAACAAAATAGATAATAATAATTTGGAAAAGCATAATAACTCTATTTTTTTTCTATTTAATAATTTATATATATATATATATAAAATTACTGGGAATATTATCCATATAATAATTAATGTATATAATAACACTTTTATAAATTATGTTATAAGTATTTAATTAATAAATTGAAAGGATCTATACAATTTCAAAATTTAAAAAAGAATTGATAAAGGATAATGATTAAATTTAATTCTAGAAAAACAATAAAAAATCATCTAAACAAATTTTTTAGATAAAGGGTAAAAAAAGATGTATAATAAAAATAGTGAAAATCATATATTTTATTATCGAAAGTAATCACTAAAACTTAATTTCTTTAATCCATCTTTATAAACTTTTAATGTTAAGATTTCTTAACTTTATTCAACAATTTTAGTCTATTATTCATATAAAAGTTGCTTTAATTATTCATTTTCTTATTTCAATATTTCCATTTCTTGTACTTAATCATGATTCTATTGCAATAACATTAAGATTCTCATTTCTAATTATTATTATTCTTCATTTTTTTATTGTACAAGTTCTAAGTCTTTATTGATAAAAATTACTATATTCAAATTCTTAAACATATTCTTATAGCTTTTATTATTCTTTAATTTTATTAACAGTTTCAATAGCTTCACTTTTAATTCTTGTGCCATTTTTTGAAATTGAATTTACTTTTACACCTGAACTTCCACTAACTCTAACTAATTTTTCTGGAGTAACAAATTTTTATTAAGGTATTGGTGAATGAGATTAATTATGAGAATTTCTCATATATAAGGAATGAGATGGTGTTCTTATCATTTTAAATTTTGATTTATTTGAATTATTAACATCAAAAATATGCATACTTTATAATAATATTCAATAAATAATTGATAATGCTTGTAATGACAGATCTATAAAACCATCAATAGCAAGTTTGGCTAATCCTTCATTTCCCCAAGTAGTACCCCATGTATTTTCAATAATCCAATATTAATATCCATTTTATTCTCCCCATCCAACAATTTTAATAGCATGTCCTCCATGAAATCTTGGTGTTCCTTCTAAAACCTAATACACTCCATCCCTATAAACAAGAAAGTCTTTATAGACTTGCATAATTGCAACTACAGGACCTCTATTAATAATATCTCGTTTAATATCCTAAAAACCACATAATTATATACATCCTTATTTTACAATTAACAAAAGGAATTAGCTTTATATCTTTAACATTTTTCAAGTGCTTTTGTACATTCTTAGAAATTATCGTCACCTCTGAATGGATGACATTCATTAGTAGTTAATCCATGTTTAATAATATATTCAGCTGATCTAGTTATATGTCCTCCAGTACATCCTTAATTCAATTTGCCATCACAAGATAATAGATTTTAAGCTGATAATTATTGAGTTTAATTGACTTTGCAGACTCTATCTGAAAAGGCAGAAGAAACAGCAATAGAATAAGAGGATGAACAATTGCCTTAATTGAATATAATATGAGAGCAATTAGGATAGGATTCTTTGAAATTAAAATAAGTTGGAATTTCAAAATTAATAGGTACTTTGCATTTTTCTACATTAATTTATTATGTGAAATCATTCTTAAACAAAGTTTTAGCTTGCATTAATGTTACATTCTAATTAGATGATCAAATTACTTGAAAGAAATCATTTGGTCCTAAAGTATAAGGATATCCTTAAGAATTATGGGAGTTGATTTCTGACTAATTAATGATGATATATTCTTTAATTTATTTAGTAAATGATAAGACTGCAATGATTATTATTCCAACAATAACTAATTGAATATATTTAGATTAGTACTTGATATAATAACATGTGTTCTGTAAGTAGTAAAGAAATTAGGTTTTGATGTTCGTTTTTTGATTGCTGTTTAGGCTAACTTCATTTTCTCAACTTATTATTAGTTTGATTATGAACTCAGAGGACGTGATCCACGCATTGTTAATTAATTAATTTATTATATTACTAATTTGATTTGAACTTGTTAAGTGTTCTAGTTATTTAATATTTAATAAATAAATTTTATTAATTTTACTTTTTTGTTTGTTAATATGACTCATTATAGTGAACATGGTAATTGACTTATTTTATCCATCTTAGATCCTAGTGGTTAATGGTCAAGATTGATTGACAGATAAAGAATACAATAAGAAACTTAAGAAAAGTAGGAGAAAGAAGAATAAGAAAATAGAAAGCGGTTATATAGGTATATAATCTAAATGAAAATAGAGAAGAATTGGAAAGATTGATTAATGAATAGAAACAATCAACTATTTAGAAAACAAGATACGATTCTGAATTCGCTGGAGCTATGCAGAAATTCTTACATGAGAGAGATAGTGTTGAATAATTGAAATTGTAAGAACTTAAATAAAAATAATCTGAATTTATAAGATATAGTCTTGAATAAGAATAAATGAAGAAAGAATAATAAGTATCTATATTTTTAATTATTTTTAAGCGAGTCAACTTTTTATAGGATAGATAATAACAATTTTAAATTGGATAGATGATGGATTAAGCAGAAAAAAAGGATATTTATCTAAAATAATAGAAAAAGGAATAAGTCCAAAAAGATTTAGCATAATCTTATGCTTAATAAGAGGAATAAAAAAAAATGGATTAATATTTGGCTAGATAAAGAGAATAATAAATTCTATAAGAGTAATTATAAAGAAGCCAAAAAGAAGAAGAGTAACGATTATTAGTAATCATAAATTCTTATGAATTAGCATCTTAGCAAAATTAAGTATGGATATCATCAGAATGAAAATGTTCTACAGAAGTATAACGATCTATATTTACAAAAAGAGTATAAAGATAAAGAACTTCAAAGAAAATTTGTTGAAGAAGCTGCTTCATATAAGTAAAGATAAGAAGAAGAAAAATATATTATGGAAAGAGTTAATAAAGAAAAATTAAAAAGGGATACTGTTGATACAATCTTAAATCAAATTCACTCTAAACAGCAAAGCTAAAGAGAATAGTAAAACAGCAAATATAAAGATCAAGAAGTTTTGCTTGGACTACATTAAAAATTTTAAATGCAAGAAAAAGAATAAAATGAAAAAAAGAATATACAATAATCTTAATACAGATAAGATTTAATTATGTAAATTGAAGAAGACAAAAATAGAAAATAATAAGAAGCATCTATGAGTATGGTAGAATTAAACATGAATAAGAAAATATTCGAAGTATCAAATACACTTATATAAAATAGGCAGAAGATGATCCTCAATAAGCTGGTATTGGAGTTGTTCCTGGATTATCTAATCATGTTGATTATGAAAAATTAAAATAAAAGTAAATTTATTATTATAATCGATAAGAGCATATGTGGATGGAACATTTAAAAAATCTACTGATTAATAAATGCAATACAAGAGATTAAGAAATGTAAGTGCATATATTGCAGGCAATAATGTTACTTAAAATTATGGTTATTGATATATATATATATTATTATTCATTTATTTTGAGGGTTTTCTTCGATTATCTTAACAATATCTTTTTTATCCAAAATTTAATTGGATTTCTATATTTTATCAAATAAAATAAAGATACACTAATAGATAAATATAAGAGTTTACTTTTATTTATAAAAATGTCTATAAAGAATTCATTGAATTATCTTATAGGTAGTCATCTAGATCACTTTCAAATTATTTGTTTAAATATATAGACTAGATGGATTAGTAATATTAATCAATGTTCTTAGAATAATATAGAATTTTACTTAAAAAGATGTATCTAATTAAGAGCACATCTCAAAGTCTTTCTTATTTTGAATTAAAGGTTTAAGTACATCTTATGTCTATTTTTCATTTTAGCCATAAATTGAAAGAGCAACACCAATTAAATTCTATAATTGCTTACTCCATAATGGTAAATCTTTATAGAGAAAGTGTTCCTACATCTAAAATGCTATTATTAGTTTAAAAACTAGTATATCTTAATCACAAATAATTTTCTGATAGAATATTTTACAAATGATTCCTAATAAAACTAGAGGTTTCAATTATAAGGCTAAATTATAAAAAAAGGATTATTAATTGGTGAGTTTTGCTAATTTCATATAAAAATGTAAAGCAATTACAGTTTCTTTTAAATTATTATTATTGTATTATTCCAGGACATAAGCAATCATACATTATAATTTAAGAACATTTTTATATTCATCTAATAATTATTAATATTCCTAATTTTAAGGAATTGGTTATATTGGTTTATTATATACAAATTTGTTAACTTCAGCTAATATTTATATTTTTAAATTCTCTTCAAAATCTGGTTTGCCAAATAATCCATCGGTCGTAGGCATCATTTTTTTAATTGCATAATCTAATATTACCCATCTGAACATTTTCTCATCAGGTTTCATTTTCAAATACATAGCAAAATTTTCAATTAAAGGTGGTTTGTATTACAATAACTTATATTATTTTTATTAATATTTTATTTATTTTTCATTAGCAATCTCTAAATATTAATGATATATTGAAACAATTATTTCTATTTAGGTAACTAATTACTATTAAATAATTTCTTTTTTTAACTTTTGATTATCTTAATATAGAAAATCTCTCTATTGTTATGATAATAATGATCCATATACATCATTTAAATAATTATTTGTATCAATACTTGTACTAAATAGCTTTTACTTTTTATTTAAGTTTTAAGTATATTTAACTTTATCCTCTTTGACATATTAAATTAAATAAGCACTTTTAGAATTTGTTTAATCACCAAAAGCATATTTTAGTACATTTTCTTCTGTTTCTTCTTGAACAAGAATGTCATTAAATACATACCATTTTTGATCATCAATGTTATAAATGTATACAAAATAATGACCAGCATCAGGACTACCTTCATGCATCAAAATCGATTATAATATGTATTTCTACTTTTTTAAGGTATTATAACTTTAGGAAATTTTTAATTCTGTTTCTTTTTTCTCTTTTAATAATGAGTCTCTTTTTTTAATAAAATATTAATGATATTAAGAAATTGAATTAATAACTGCTTTATTGTCGTTGTTGTCTACATAAAATGGATTTTATTTTTCATTTGGGTTTTATAATTTCAAAAATTATAATGTATTTTCTAGATTTTAAATAATTTAAACATTTCCATTAAATTAATTTAATATTTCTAATTCTTCATCAATTTTCTTTAATCTATCATTCATTTATTAATTCTATATTTGTATATCTCTTGCAATTTTTTTATTAGATAATAGAAAACGATCTATATATATTTCTTTATCAAATAAAAAAGGAGAGTTACTTTTAGCAAAAGAACCTAATTAATTATATAAAGGAATTACAAAATTATTTATTAAATTCCACTCTTTATATCTAAAAAGAAAGGATTTGAGGAGCTTATGATATCCAAAACTATTTGATTGCTTATTAATATTCATCAATATCATTTTTGTATTCCACAACTTAATTCAATTATTTTTCTAATCCTTCTATTAAAGATTTACTATTCACATCTATTTGAATATAATTAAATATTTCTTGTTAACAATCTTTACTTCCCTAACCTTATATTATAATTTAAGGTGCAAATTTGCCATAAAACAATTTAAACATAACAGAATTTTCTGCTATAACTGATGATTTTCTAAATAATAATGATTTTTATGAAATAAAACTTTTATTCTATTAATGTGAATTATTAGTTGGATTTTAAATAACAGATTATCCAGGATAATATTATTAAAATTACTATTACTAACCTTTTTATTATGATTAAGTTAAATAAGTGATACCTTCATCAATTCTTGATAAAAAGTAATTATTAAATTCACCAACATCTTTTTAATCTCCTATAGGTAAAGCTTTACCAAAATCATCATATATTGAAAGTATAACTTATTTTGGATCAACAAATTACCTATCACTTCCAATCATAAGTACAAAAAGATTTTATAAGTTTTTAAGGAGTTAGATTGAATTAACTACTCTCTTATCAACAATATTTTGAAGATTTATATGATCAAATTTACATTTAACTATAGGAGACACAAAATCTGTAATAAAATAATAAGTCTAAAGAAGAGAATTAAAATAACATGTGTTCCCTACATTTAATAATCCACATGGTATTTTATCTATCCTAATTTTACCTTCTGGAATATTTTATTAATGTAATGTTAATGATGCTGCCATAGCTACTTAGATATCATCATTAAATTATTAAGTAATTGGACTAATTATAAATGATTAATTTTTCATTCCTTATAAAATCTATTAAAAAATAGATCTATTTCCAGATGAAGCTTGCCATGCATTCAATATTTCATCTTAAGAATATCCATTTTTTAATTCTTACTAAAGTAAACCATCATCTATAAGTTTGAGTAATTATGATTATTGCATGAAAATATATATTTAATATAAATTTAATATCAACTGTTTTTGAATTCAAAAATGTAATAAATAGAAGAGCTTATATGTCCAGAATGTTAAATGATGTTTAATGAGAATGACAATTTACCATTGATGCTTCCAGATTGTGGACACACAATATGTTAAAATTGCATTTAATAAATGCTAATCAATAAAAAGTACATTGTTTGTCCAGAAGATGGGTAAAATTATTATTTATTATAGTATCATGGCTAAAAATAAAAATGACATCTCTTAATTTCCAAAAAATTGTCAATTATTAAAAATGGTAATCAAGCATAAGGCTTAATACTAATAAAGTCGATAATCATCAAGAAATGATGATGGTGATATAGGTTATCAACTCTAATTGAATAACTTAATTTCTAATGATATTCCTAATGATTTATGTTAAGAACATCTAGAAAAATTGGAAATAGTTTGTCTTACAGATCAAGTAAGAATTTGTACAAGATGTGCACTATTTGGATAGCATAGACATCACGAAGTTAGGTCTGTTGATGATGTTGTCAAAGAAATAACTTAAAAAGCTGAAAATATTATGCAGATATATTAAAAGATACTCTAAAAATAAAGTGAATTAACAGAATTAAAATATTTTGAACCATTATAAGAAAGATTTTCAAGTGTTCTTACAGAAAGTCATAATACTGTCAAAGAGAAATTTAAAGAATTGCATTAATTATTAGATCTCAAAGAACAAAAGCTTATAGAATAATTAACTACATTAACATAATCACTAGAATAATAAACAAAAAAATAAATTAAAGAATTGTTATAAAGTTGTTTATCTTAGGCTGAATTATGGAAGATTACAGCTAAGGATAGACTAGTTTATTTCTCTACTAAAACAGAAAATGGAGAATTGCCTTTAGATTTATTAAATAATCAAGATTATGCTTGTGTAGATAAGGGAAAAGGAATTTATGATGAATTGGAGAAAATCTAAAAATAATTGGATCTTAAATTATAAAATATAAAAATAAAAAAATTAAGAGTAGATCTCAAAAAAGCAGAAATAGATAAGAGTTTTGATAATCTCTTTACTATTACTTTATAATTAAGTAATGTCAATAATACTAGCAATATGACAAAAAGTAGTTAAATTTTAAAAACTATCAATACTTTAACAGATTCAACATTATTATAGGATATGAAAAGAAATGAAAGTTTTAGCAAATTATGTGGTTAAGATGTTTTCTCAAGTTTTTGTTAAGATGAGCCAATGTTACTTAAAGATATATCTATGGCAGATTGGAGTGAGAGTCTTATGGAAGAAACAACAAATATTACATAAGTGAGAAGTCCAAATAGAAGTAGTTTAGATTAAGAAGATTTTGTTAAAAATAAAATGGGATCTGGATTGAAAGAACTAAAAGACATTTAACCTGTATCTACATCTTAAACTATTCAATCAACCACTCCTACAAAACCAGAAAGAATATAAATAAGAGCTTTAGAGAAATTGAAAGGATCTTTTTAATAACCAAGTCCAGGTAGAAGAGGAGATATTGAATAAGTTAATTCAATTAGACAGGGAGTTAGTCCTAATACTAAAATCTAGGATTGCAAAAAGAAAAAAATGTTTAAGATTAATGAGAAATTTGAAAATGTTTGGTAAGCATTTAAAAGTGATAATTTAGAAATAGCAGATTTTTCAAGTGCAGGTATATTTATAAATATTTAAATAATAGAATTGGGAGATGAAGGATTATAATTTATAGGGGACATTCTAAAAATATCAAAGAGAGTTAAATAACTTAAATTAGTGAGAAATAAAATAACTGATGAGGGTGCCTGTAAATTATTAGATTTTCTAGTATAAAATACAAATTAAGTATTTTAAAGTCTACATTTATCATCAAATATGATAACTGAAAGAACTCTAGATTATTTCATATCTTTAGTTAGAAATTCCCCTTCAGGAAGTTCATTGCCCAAATCATTATACTTGAACCAAACTTTAATAAATGCAACAAAAGCAAAAAAGAAAATTGAAGATTTAAAGCGTGTAGGATATTTAGTGAATATTTGATAATAAAAATTAATAATGGATAATTAAAAAAAATGCTTGTATGAAAAATTTGGAGGAGACTAATAAGTATCAGAACTTATAGATCAATTCTATTACAAAGTACTCTTTGATAAACTTCTTCGTGATAAATTTTTGAAGGCAGACATGAGTAGAGTAAGATATCAATAAAAGCGATTCTTCTCTTAAATGATGGGTGATAAAAATACTTAATATACTGGCAGGTATTATCAATTAATTAATATATATATAGAGATTTAATTGAAGTCCACAAAAATCTGAATATCACAAACTAATAATTTGACAAATTTAAGACTCATCTCAAAAATATTGCTTAGGATATGGAAGTACCAAATTAAGATATTGATGAATTACTTCAACATGTTGAAAATCATAGAGATGTAATTGTTTTTTCAAAATGATAATCATGTTTTTGTATTTGGATATACTTAATTGTATTAATCCTGTATATATCCAAAATAAATAAAATAATTTATTAATTTATTTAAAACTTCTTTTGAAATAGAATTGGAATAATAATTGAATAAAGTTAATCAAATTGTATTCTATTTATAATCATATCCTATAGGAAATTATAAATATTATAAAATCACTACTTTTTTTTATTGAGTTTTGGAAATGAACTTCCAAGAGTGGAAAGTGAATTTTATAACTTTAAAGGCTTTATCAATAGTTATTTATTCGAATTTATCACATATGGATTATAATTTCTTGTATTAGTACTTTATAATTTGTTATGTGTTTATTGATGTTTTCTTTTAGGAGAAAATAGACTTAAAGGGCTTTTAGGCTAAATGGAATTCTTTTGATTCTATAAGAATGATTGTGTAGGACTAGTTGTAATATTCAAAGATTTCAAAGAATTTAAAGATTAGAGATCAGATGATGAAAATAATCCACTACTATCTCTTCTTTTAGATCTCTCTTGACCATCTGTTATTAATTTCAATAATGTATTTTATCTATTATAAGCTCTTTTGAGTCCGTGAATATTTAAGGACAATTAAGTGTTATTTGTCTAATCTTTAGTTTCTATAATTTACAAATTCTTAAAAGAAGATTTCTTATAAAAGGTACTCAATCTAGCTATAAAAATATTTCTATTTATACATTCAGGTTTTGTTACTATTAATTCAGGTATGATCTATTCCTATTCCTTTGGAATTTGTCTTACTTTAAGCGGAATATTCATTGTTTTAAACTAAAATTGACTTTGTTAACCACATTAACCACAATGACAGCTTTTTCTTCTAGTTATTTATTCTAAATCTAACTCCTTAATCTAAATAGTATTCTAGCTGTGAATGTATTTATTCATCCTTGTTTACTCATTAAGTATTAATTAGTAATTTTCCATAGGTAAAAGTGCTTTCAAGTTAAAAGAGAAAAGAGATTAATTCATAAAAAATCAATTATTAAATATCTCATTTTACATCCATTAATGAATATCATCTATTAATCAGGTTTTCAAATAAATAATTACAATTTTATTGATCAAATAACAACTACTCAAAAATTGAATTTTTTATTGTAATAATAGTGTTTTTTTTGATTATTCAGATTTTAATGCAAAATTTTTTATTTTTGAAAATGAAAGGAACCATTTTTAACTTATTTTAATCAAATAAATATAGCTCTAGATATAATGGCTTTATATATAAGCCCTTTTTATTAAATCCATTTGAATTAAAACATTAATTTTAATAATGTTTCAAAATTCCAAATATATTTTGCATATAAATTAAAGATTAAATACCTTAAATAAATTGATTCATCTAAATCATATGATAATATGATATATTAAATTCAATAAATGTCGTAAGAAAATAGAAAAGTAAATTATGAATCTTGCAAATTTTTAATATAAATATAAATATGTAAGCTACTGAACTTTTCCATAGTTTTAAAGAAGATATGATGGTTCTACTTCTTGAGATTGAAATCCATTTAAAATTAAATTTATCGACATTTTAAGTAGCATTATATCAGAATAACACTGATCATTATTGCACAATAGATTTTGAAGTCAATAAATGATCCTTATTTTATTTATACGAACTAATATCTACTTTTTAATTAAATTGCATATTATTATATTATGAGAGAATATAGGGTTTAAATAAATAGAAATTACATTGCAACCTAAAAAGTAAATTAAAATATTAGAGTAATTTTTGTTCAAGCTTTATTAATCATTCTCCTATTTTAATACTAAATAATTCAAATTCAAATATCAACAATAGAGCATTATTTATAAAATATTAACATATGAATCAATAATATATTCATAATCATAATAAAAGTACTAAGAAAATTGATTTATAAAATTTGAATTCAAATCTCCTCCTTTTTTTTTAATAAACATTTGATTGATTCTTCAAATTATCTAATGACTTTGATATAATAAATGGTTGCAATAGGGCATTAAATTTTATTTAATTACAATTATTAAATAAAATTAGATATAAAAATTTCATCATTTCCTTCTTTTTTATCCATATTGGGTAAGGAAGAAGAAGAAGAATACAATTAGGATTGCAATAGGTCCAGACCAATACATACTATTATTAAATCGCATTCCTTTATCCCAATCTAATAAACCCATCGTCATAGCAATCTGATTCATAGTAAATGTACAATATGTAAAGGCAATAATACTTCTAAGTGGTGCTGGAATCCTATTTAGATATTTAGGATAATTAAATACCATTAAAATTTATCTCTACTTCTGTAAACATACTTACAATTTTGATTAATTAAAGCCCACCAAAAAAAGGTTTGATAATATCCTAGATAAAAACCATGCCATAATGCACTTATCCCATAAGTCATATAATAGGCTGTTGAAACATCGAAAATAATTGATAATTTATCAAAAAAACAATATTTAAGCCATATTTATACAGTTGTATTCCACTTTGTTGTTTTATGAATTGCACTCACATCTTTTTCATAAGAATAATCACAAGTTATAAATTTATCAAATTACTCTAATTATTATTTATATATTTATTACATGAATCTTCATTATAAGTAATTCCAGTAGCATCCATAGCAGCTTAAGTAAATTTGAATCCTGCAAAATATCTCATCCTAGCAACTAAACCAATAATAGCTTATAAAAGATTCTTCTCAATAAGATTCAACTCATTCCATTATGGTGAATCATACCAATCATAATCAACGTATGGTCTAATCCAGATTTCCCCAGCGCAAAATAATAATGCTTTTACTAAGTTAGTAATAACTGATTTATATTAATTAAATTTGATATTAGAATATTCTTCTTTTTTATTAAGCAGATTTAAATAATTATGATATGGTACAGGTCCAATCATTATACTAAAAAATGAAAATACGTAAGAGTAATATGTCCAAAAACCAGTGTCATAAGCTTTTCCATATTATAAATCAACTGCATAGTAAATTAATCTGCAGGTTACTGTCATCTGTATTACAGAGAAATCAATCTTCCAGGACAAGTAATCAAACTAATAATATTTACTTTTATATTACCCATTGTCGAAAGAGATGGACATATGATAGAGCTACAAAAGCAGTTATTGATATCGGTATAACAACATTCTTAGTTGGTATTGTTGATATAAAGTACACCAAGATGGTTGTAATATTTATATACACAAACCACTCTCTCCCAAGAAATAATGTGAAGAAAACTCCCCAAAAAATATTATATATAAGCCTTATTCTTGGTGATTTGATATTACCAAATATAATTGCTATGGGAATACAAAACAACTAGTAATGAATACAAATTTTTACAAAATATGAAACAAGCCTAACTTTATCCTCTGAAATGTTCAAATCTTTAATGCTGTTCATGACCAACTAGTCAAACTAATCGAATGGCTTCAAAAGGTAATCGAATGATAACATTTTTTTTAATTAAGAGAATAACAATATTCCTAAATTTTTCTATAGTTATATATTAATTATCATTTATATGGTTATAAATTCTTAAATCCTGATGCCAAACCTATCACTCCACAAGCCAATCTTGCACCACTATTACCAGTTGTTTTTGAGTCTTTTTAACTACCTCTTCCTAAATCATCTTAACCTGCATGTACTACCACTGATCTTCCCAAAATACTTATTTTATTTATATGCTCGTTTACCTATACTCTCCATATAATTAAATCTAATTGTCTTCATAAGCCAAATATCCATTTCCTCTTTCATCTGTTTTTATATTTCCCAAATCTCCTACGTGTCTTTACTCCTCTAAAGGACCTCCATGTTCTTGTTCAAAAGGATTGAAATGAGGTCCTGCTGTTTCACATCCATTGCTTAAATCCCCGAATTCATGAACATGAATGCCGTGGAGACTGTTTGGCTTTAATCCTCTTACTACTGCAGCAATCTTTGTTTTTGCATTAATATGTTCTTATGAAAAAGAAACAACACCATTGACTCCAGAATTTTAATCTGGAAATAGGATGCATAAAGCATGTCTTGCTGAATTAAAGTTTTCTGTTGAAGAATTGACTTTCCCCTGACTAATGAAAAGAAAACCAGAAATAATTCCAAAGGATTTTAACATTTGTATTTTTAATTATTTTAACACAAAATAAAAATTTATTTTTTTTCATAATCTTTCAAGGTATACATTCAGAAATTTTTGTTTATATGAAAGAACTTTATTAAATTTAATTATTATTTTGTTCGATATCTTGTTTGGAAATCATTATATTAGATTAAAGAAAAACTAAAATATTTATATTACTGAGTCAAAAAATTAGAACTAATCATTTTGATCTTTTAAAAATGTTTGTATATTATAAAAATAATATAATTATTACAATATTTCTAACATTTAAAATCATATACATTATTACTCGTGTATAATTGCAAATAACTTGTTTAGAAAGCTAGGGCTGAAGAAATGTGCAAGGCCTTCTCAATTTTGCTCTCACAGCTATGCATTTGAGCATTATTTAAAGAGAATGAGATATTAATTGATTTTTCTATGATTTGATTAAATCAAATGAAAAATTTTTGATAGAGATTCCGCATAAACTGAACTTTATGAATTGTAGCATTATCGTTTATAAAAAAACAATTTATAACTTATAATCATAAGTAATATTTTCTAAAGGGACAATCAGCTATTAATGAAAGTTGGTGCAATAATAATGTTCTGTACTATATTCACGACTAGAATCCAGCTTATCAAAAACAGCATAGAAGGAAGCTAGCAAGTTATCATAAATAATTTGGATATAATATTTATTATTTATTTGATTACAACATTTTCATCAGTAAGACTAAAGCCTTAAAATATTCTGAAGCAAAAAAAGAAGTTTGCGCTATCTTTTCAAAAGGATCATGAAAAATTCTTTCTTATTGATAAAGTCAACATTAAAAACACATCTTACCTCAAGGGACCAGCCTCGACAGGGTCTTCGGTAGGATGTCCTTGTTTCGAATCCTTAAATCTCACCCCTTTCCTCTGTTTCCGATTTCTTTGTATCTCATGGTCAGCACTCGTCCCAAACTGATGTAGAACGCTATCATCAGGCTTTTGGATCGAAGAAGAGGACTACTTGGGTGCCAATTATGACATCATCAGAAGTATAAGTTAATTAAATTTCATGTTTAAATAAAGTTTGTTAATAACATAATAATTATAGATTTATTTAAATAAACTAAGTATAAATTATAAATTTTCATAAAAAAATACCTTATTAAGAGATTTTATATAATTAATTATAGTGTTATCCTTTTGAAATATAAATTATAAATTAAGTGTAAATAAATATTTGTAAAAATAACTCATTAAAATAAAAGGTATTTTTTCTTAACATTTACTAAACATTTTTTTAATTCAATTTTAGTTTAAATATAATAATTAAATATTTTTATAAAGTATTTTAACTAGCATTTATTAAACATAATTTATATGTTAATTAAAAAAAAAGATAACTTAATAATTAATTATATCATATATTTTAATTATTTATACAAACATTTATTTAAACATAATTTATAATGAAATTTAAAAAATAGATAACTCAATAATTATATCTATCAAATATTATAATATATAATGATAAAATATATATAAATAATTTTTGTTAAAATAACTTATTAAAATATTTGATATTAATAATTCTAGAGTATGCTTTTTTAAAAATAAACTTACACATTAAAATATTCAATACTTTTTAACTTTTGTAAAATAATTTATTATAATTTTTGATACAATTACAATATAGATATAAATCTATGTTGATTGTAAATTAATATTTATTTTTCAATCTTAAATAATCAAACCTAGTAGACAATTTTATGAGAAAATTTTAAATAAATTTTAATATATCAATATTTTTAGCAGCTAGAGAAATCTTTGTTTAATTCTACCTTAAAATTTATATAATTTTAATTATAATTTGATAATATATTTATTTCATCAATTATTTGGTGAATTTTAAAAATATTTATTCACTAAATATTGTATCTCTTATATTTTTTATTCATCATTGTCTTTAGATTCAATAAAATTAAAAATTTTTTCTGGAGTTACATCATTGTTTTTTTCAAATTTAATGTTTTTAAATTGAGTATTAATTTAATCATAGTCAAATATGCGATTAATTAAATGACATAAGACAGTCTTTAATATAAGACTGAATTATTTAGTTCTCATTTCATCAAATTAACATTTTGAAACTAAATAATTGTATAAATATTAAGTCATATTTCTATATCCGCTTTTTAAAAATTCATTTGAAGTACATCCAAAAATATTAGTTTATATAGCTCTATCGCCTTATAAGAAATGTTTATCTTATTTAACTGAATTTCTTATATTTTCATCAAACTATAAACTTTAAGCCAATTCTTATTAACATTTTTCATTTAAATTTTTTAGTTCTTTTATATTCTCTTAAATTGATGATTTTATTTTGTTTATTAAATTTGATTTACTTTAAAGCTTTTAAAAATCTTACCATTCTTCTTAACTAGTTGTAAACTGGCATTTTTGTGAATTTAATTTTCCTAATATTTCAATCATTATAAGGTATGCCATCTTCTTTAAAAAATATTCAATAGCATATTCAAATCCAAATTTTTTATTAGATAATAAAGAAACAACCTCATCAGCAGTATTGTTTAGAATAAAAAATCTAAACTACTCCAAATTAAGAATTTGGAATAGTCTCTAAAATTTCTTAACCTATTATCAATAAAATTATTTACTTCAAATTGATTTTCCATAAAAAATGGTAGTTTTAAGAGATGGCTAGAATTTTGAATAACCTACTCGAATTGATTAATATCTGGAACTACACTTTCAAGACAAATTTTTTGAGGAATCCTATATATTAGTTTTCAAATGTACTTAAAATCATGATCATTTACATAAGATTGAATAACTTAGAGATTTTTTAATTCAGATTATGGGTTTAGAGGCTATTTCAAAATATTAGTTGAAATAAACTCATTTTAAGTTATTCCATCCCTGAGCATAATTTTTTTTTAAATTTCAGTTAAATTTAGATTCTTGTAAAATTATATTTACTCATCACATATTTCCAATTCTAAGTCTTATATATATTCAGATTAATAGATATCCAAAAAAGATAGCCTTTTTTTTGAATCATATCTTAATAATGACTCTATTAATATATTTAATTTTTGTGGATATCTCGAGGGTTCTACTTTAATATATTCATCTTCTTTATTTTACTGTTAAAGAAAAAAATTATATTCCTCTAATTGTGAATAAGTATATGCATTTAGTTTATTACCTTTAAAATATGAATTAATTGGATATAGTTTAACGAGATTGAATAGGAATGCTCCTAATAACCATGAATCTATTTCAATGCTATAATTTAACCCTTAATCATCTAGATGAAATTATGATATTTACTTTTCTCAACCATGCTTGATACAACTTCTGGAGGTGCTAGTATATTCAATTAATTTTGCTTTAATTCAGCTGCAAAACCAAAATCCATCAACGTGATACTATTGTCTTGAAGCTCAATAATATTTTCTATTGAGAAAACTCTCCCTAAAATGTTCATCTTATGTAATTGATATAGAGCTTCAAGCAAAGATTTGAGATAATTATTAATTTTCTCTATCGGTATAGACTCTGATTTCACTCTATATTTATTAATTATTTATGAAATTGGTTGTCCTTAAGCAAATTCAAATATATAGTATTTTTTATTTAAATCTAAACAACGTAAATAATGTCTAAGCAATTTAGTTTTTTATATCGTGGCTTTGAAATATATTTCATCTTATAAAAAATTTTGATGAAATGGTTCAAAGGGTGAAAGTGCAAGTAATTAAATTTTCTTTTCATTTGTTTTTTCTTCCATCTCATAAAGCTATCCTGAAGGTATGGCAATTCTTTCAATTATTAAGTCATATTGGGACATTTTTCAGATAGAAATGCAATTTTTATCAAAATATTTAAATTATGCACTAAGATTAAATCATTAATACAATAACCATTTGGGAAACTAAGGAATGTTTGTCTAAATTTAATTATATTATAAAAATATATCAATCATTTCATAGGATTACAAAAATAAACTCAGAACCACTACATTAGGTTCTTTAATATAAATATTTCATATAAAAATGAAAATCAGAAATAGATTAATTTTTATATTCCTACTTTTAAATTTAATAAATTTTTTTCTATTAGATAGAATTTGATATGAGATAAATCTTAAAACCATTTTAAAGTAAAATCAATCAAATAAATACTCTATTATTGTGTTGAAAAAATTTATATTATAAATTATTGCATCTCAAATTTACAATATTTCTTAATCAATGGATAAACACTAAGTGCTATTCAAAATTTTTAGATCTAAGAGAAAATTTCTTTAAATAGCATACATTAGTTTTACTAAATAGAAATTTTTACTTATAACAGCGAATAAAAACTATGAAATAAGAATCAAACTCAATTCAAACTGCTTATTAAACTAATGATAAATAAACTTTATGATCCAATTTTATTTTAATTAATATAAAATTTGATTAAAATATCATAAAATGAGATATTTAGTCTTTCTGGTGTTAGTGATAAGGAATTTAGGTGTTGATCCTTAAAATGATGAGATTTTTGATTGGCCATATTATCCAATTCACAACTTTAAAACGTATAATGGATTCGTAGATATATATAATGGAAAATAGTAACAAAAATGAATATTTTTGCAGAGTCATCCACTATATTTTTATGGAGAGTATTACTAATCCAGAGAATAAACCTTTGATTATATAATTTGGAGGAGGACCAGGATGTAGTAGTTTGGCTGGCCTTATTTCAGGAATAGGTCCTTATGTTCGAATCTGGGGTAGTGATAAAATGGAATTAACAGAGAATCCATATACATTACATAAATTAGGGAATGTTTTATATTTAGATATACCTGCAGGAGTTGGATATTCTGAACTTCATGATGATGATTACTAATGGAGTGACACAAACACAGGCCTTGATTCTTATGAAATAATTAAAACATGGTTAAATGCATTTCAAAATTATAAAGGGAGAGATGTATGGATAAGTGGAGTTTCATACTCAGGTAATTAGTTTATTTGATGAAAGGTATGTATATACCTTGCACAGCAGAAGTTATAGTTAAGAAAAATAAATTATTCCCACAAGATAAAATTAATTTAAAAGGCATTATGGTTGGTAATGGGGTTTTAGTAAATGAAGATGAATTTATATTTAAATGGAATAGAGAATATTTGGTTAAAAGAAATTTCTTAGATTTAGTAACATAAAATATTATGCAAATTTCATGCACAAAATATCCAAATTCAGCCAGTTGTTAAAGAGCTTTGGAAAGAGAAAAAATTGTAAGAAAAAATTTAAATCCTTATAATGTTTATGGGTACTGTTACGGAGATTCATCAATCTATCATAAAAATAATTAAAGAAATTTTAAAGATGTAGAAGATTATTCTTGCATAGATGATGGAATCCTAAATAATTATTTTAATAATCCTGAAGTAAAATAAAAATTAGGAATTCCTGAGGATAAAAAATGGGATTCCTGTAATATTGAGATTTTCTTGAATTATAAAAGAGATAAGCATAGTCATACTTTGATGAAATTTTTATTTGATAATAATATTAGAATATTGTAATATTCAGGAAATGCTGATGATATTATCAGTGTTGATTATACATATGCTGCATTTAAATTAATTGATGGCCTTACATAATTATCAAGAAAGCCATTTGCAAATAAATAGACATAATAAATGGCAGGATGGATTGTTGAATATAATTATTTAACATTTTATATTATAAGAGGTGCAGGCCATATGGTTCCAACTGATTAAAGAGCCAATACATTTTAAATGTATGAAGAATTTTTAAATAGAGAATGAGGAGTATAATATTTATAATAGTATTTTTTTAATATTTATTTTGCTATTATTATTTTTTATTCGAACTATCTTATCAAATAAATCACTTTCACCAAAACTCTTTTTTTCTTTCAAGAACTCACTAAATTATTAATTTTATAATAAGTATATGGAGAGAGAATTTATATGATATTAGTATCAATTAGAATTCTTTTTATGTGTATTTTATATTTTAATTAAACCTTTTAAATAGTAAAATGGAAGATTATAAAAAATACTTAATTAATTCTAGATGAATGCAATAAAAAGGATTATGAGTTAATTAACTCAACCGATTACTGTAGAACTTAAGCATATTTTTTGGTAAGCCACATTTTTGCAACTTCTTTGTTCAAAGTGGAATTTCATAACTAAAAACAGATTTAAGTGTAAAATAATGTGTGAGAGAATATTATTTATAATAAAAGATAGATAATGTTTAAATTTAAAGAGAAGATGATGTATAGATATATTAATATAGTTTTGATATGTTTTTGAAACTTTTATCCATTAGATTTTCTGTGCAATTTTTTTTAAATCTACTGCAATGACTTGTGATTTCAAATAAGGAAGATAATACTGGTGTATAGCTAAAACCTAGTACAATAATTAAAGTGATCCAAAACTGAGTTTAATTATATATCAAAAATGTAGACCTAATTAGTAAAAATACATATTTATTCTTATTTTAGTAGTTTTGTGATTCAAATAACTGATTTTAATTTATTTAGAGATTACTAACATTTTGACTTATAATAAAACTAGATGCCAGAAAAAAGCTAATTTTAATATGAATTTTATATCAAACCTATGAGAGAGCCACTTTAAAATGATGTTATTATTTTTTTTATGTTAGCCGATTTTATCTTTTACTTTTTAGATTTTAGATCCTGAATAATGTACATTCTTAGGTTTACAAGTAAAAAATAAATATTATATACTTTAGGAAGAATTGTTAAATGAAAAAACAATTTATATTTCTATATGGAAATATTGTATTTATTTTATTCAAGAAATTTAACATTAATCGCCGTTCCAGCCATTATTTCTGTTTCTATTGGCCGTGCATATTTCTAGTATATTCTTCAGCATACCAATTATTTATTAACCCATTTGCTAATATTCTTCCTATCTTTATTCCAACTACTGAATTTTTTGATGAAAATCATCTTTTAATTTATCAATTTTTTATACAGTTTCTCCCATTTTTGCATATTGTAAAATTTTGTAATTTTCTTATTATTGTTATTATATCTAATCGATTTTTTGTGTAAAATTTGTATTGACTTTATAATCTATATTTTTCAATTCTCCTATATTTATATTTATCAGCTTAATTTAGCTAAGTAAACAATCCAAAGAATTATTTTTTATAAGTTAGTCTTTTTAATATACCAGTTATTGAAGTTCTTATTTATCTTTTTAGAGTTTATATATAATATCTGAATAAGATTAAATGAGATTGCATTTATCTTGGAATTTTTGCTCTTCCTAAATTTTACAATACTTCAGTTTTTCTTCAAGGTTTTGATATTCATGATTAATTTATGATTAAATTTCTTCATCTTTAATTGTAATTAATGATATAAGCAAATCACCAAATATATATTTATTATCTTAAATAGATAAATTAATATAAAATTATTATTCTAAATGTTTTATATTTTCTATTGTAATTATATATTTCATATATTGTTCTTTTTACTCAATTTTTAACTTTCTTATTAAATCATCTATTAATTTTTGAGCATTTTCTTTAACTTTTATTTTTTCATTCTCTTAAAATGTTAATTTTATTTTTTATATTTATTTTAATTTTTCATATTCCTCTATATAATCATTTTGAAAATGTTAAATATGAGTAGTTTTACAGCATCTTAAACAATGGTAGGTTATATTTTCTTATAGACATTCTTTATGAATACATATTGAAGATTTTTAAGAGAAATGCTCATTACAATAGCCGTAAGGAAGTTTTTGCTTAAAAATTGATTCAATTTAAAATGAATGTACTTCATGTTCGATAATTTTATATTCATTAATATTGGGTTACTCTAGATATTCTCTTATTTTCAAATTTAAATCATCACTTAAATCATTAATGATTCTATTCATTTATTATTTTGTCTAATTCAATTTATTCTATAATTTTTAATTTGAAAACAAAGCAAAAAATATTAGTGTATCAAGCGAAGGATTAGTGTATTGCATTAATTATTATGCTTTATTTTAATTGGTTATTAATTTCAAACTTTAATTATCTACAAATGAAAAAGTCTTTTTGTTCAAAGTATCTAAAAATTTAGAGATCTATTCTTTCATTTTTGTAATTTAGTCATCAAAATTCTTCTTCAATTTTTCACTGTCTTCTATTTCAGATTTCAAAATTTGATTATATTCATTAAATGAATTTACAGCCTTTTCTTTTAGTTTGTTATAATTCAAACCATTATGATTACATAAACATTTTTAACATAAGAGTTTGTTATCTTTTAGGTCAATGCATTATAACTGATTACAAATGTATATTTGTTCTTCTTATTCATGATCTTTGACTTTACAAAATTATTATTTCATAATAGAATTACAAATATATATAATATTAATTAATTGTTATAGAAATTTAGAGCAACATAATATTGTAATATTTTTTTTCCATTTAAGTTAATTATTACTTAATAACTTTTAAATTAATGATCCATTTAATAGATATAATATGAATCATGTCATAATTATTAATAAAACATTATTCATATTATTTAGAAATAGTGATATGCACATAATAAGAATTATATTTTGTCTTTAATAATTTGAAAACCATAATTTATAAACCCATTCTTCACTTTGTATCAAAAACCTTTCCTCTTAATCTAATCTTAACAATTCTTTCATTTATACCAATAATTCAATGGATTTCTTACTACCTAATAATTATAATTCTAACAAATCTAGTTTTTGTATTAAAGAACAAATTTAAAGATTAAGATTACTTACTTATAGAATATGAATCAATACCAAACATGAAAATGGTGTAACCTTGAGTATTTTTATATAATATATTAAATTTCTTATGAATATAATTTCATTATAAAACATTTATTTATTAACTATGGATATATAGATAAATATTCTCTTTGTTATAATCTCAAGTATTAGTTTTGAGTACTTTGAAATATGGATCTTAAAATCATCTTAAGCCATTTTTATTTATTTATTGATATTTTTTACTGTTGAATTTTATAAATGATTCTCTCAACTTATGATGTTTATTTTATAAATTTCTACAATATTAAAAATAAGTATTAATCTTGATAGAGTTTTTCTTTTTTATATTCAAATTATTTTTTTTAAATTATATACAACAAATTAGTAAGAAATTAATTTAGATATATATAAATATCTTTAAATCATAATGTACTACAGTAAAAAAACAATTATTAACAAAGAATAAATATTTCCTTTTTTTGAAAGACAACGATTATGTTGCCATTATAGATTCAAAGTCGATGAATATATTGATTAATATCGATATTCTTTTTAATATGCAAATTTGTTCATCTATTTTTCAATTACATAAGCTTTGAAAATACTGTAAAAATTGATGAATATATAAAAAAATTATGGTTGTTAATAAATATATTCATCTACTTTGAATCAATAAAGGCAACCCTCTTACTTTTTTTAATTCTGAAAATCATTATTATTATTACAAGTAAATTTTCGAAAATGTGAATTGGAATTACTTTTTACACAGAAGTGATTCTTTAAGGTTATTTTTGATTTTTTTATTATGAAGAAAAGAATATATATTTTTTTAGAGCAAGGTATTAATAGTAATTAAGAATTAAAATATAGGAAGTTTATTAAAAAAATAATTTATTTTATTTTTATATGAGTGCAAATAATTTAAATGCAATTATTGGATAATCAACTTACTAGGATGAGAAAAACAATTTTATCAGAGAAATCGATTTTGAATCTACTAAGAAAAATGAGATTTCCTATAATTAATAAGCTTAATTTGAAAACCATTTTAACAATTAAAAGGAGAATTAGGAAATGATTGAAAATCAACTGTTAATTTTATGTTAAATAAAAGGAGAAATAAAAAATTTTTCAGAGATGATATTACATTCTATATCACTTTATGAACTTACAATAGCAAAGTATATTTTCCTTCTTTAGAATAACGTTTAAAATAAAGAGATTATAGAAACTGATCCTGAAAAATCTATTAATTACCTAAAAGAAAAATTAAACAATGATTTATCACTATTCTCTACTAACAATTTAATTAATAGCATTCAAGCTAAAATTTATTAATTAGATAATATTTTAATTTCTGAAAATGATTCAGATGAAATCAAATAATAAATAGCATCAACTAAATTGAGCAATCTATTTAATTATTAAGTCATTCCAAAAATCTTTTGTTGTTCAAATATAGTTATGAATTAAAGTTCAAAATTGATTATGATTGCATAAATAGATTATTTAAGTGTTTATGAATTTAAGAATGAGTAAGTGTATGAAGTTTCTAAATTTTATTCAGGTCATGATGACTATATAACTAGAATATATTCAATGAAACATCAAAACTAATTCTTAACTTATAGTTTTGGATTTATTTAAATTTGGAGAAAAAATATTTATGGAAATTGGAATTGTTTTTAAGAATTTCCAGATATTAATTTAAATGAATGTTTAATAGTGAATGATGCAGAAGATTTAATTATTTTAAATTCTGATAATGTTATAAGATTTTATGAAAAGATTAACAAATGGAAATTATAATAGTAATTGAATATCCATTCTCAATAAATTTGCACTATGAGTCTGAATTCAGAACAAAATAAATTGATTTCAAGTGGTTATGATAATTTCATTTGCATAATGGAAAAATATGAAAATAATTAATGGATATTAAATTAAAAGATACCTTTATTATTTTATGGATAAGCATTATGTTTTATAACTAATAATATTTTTGCATTTTAGTCTAAAGAGGGGAAAAACATACAAATATACAGATTTAATGAATAATTACACTGCTTTAAATGTGAATCAGAAACATAAGTTATTGGTAATTCTGATAATTAGGAAAAAATCTTAATTTATAATCCAGAAAAATAAATTTTATTTAATAAGACAAATAATTACATTCATATAATCAAGGTTATGGAAAATGGTGAACTTCAAGTTGGATAATCAATCAATTTTTATACAAATTAAATTGGTTTTACCATAAGTTAGGATGGCAATTACTTAATTACGTGGGACAATTACACAAGTGGAATTTAAATAAGAAAAGATCTTTAGAGAAAATAAAAATTATGAGTGTAATATTTTTATCTTAGTTATTATTTTTTATTTATAAGCTTTTACAATTTTAAATTTGATAATAAAGATCATTAATTATTTTATGTTAAAATTCCTCATTAAAAGAAATAAAAAAAGTAAAGGTTTTCGTATGGAATTCATTTAGATGAAATGAAGATTGTTGCAAAATCCATCACTTAATTCATATCGTTTTTTTCTAAGTATTTTTAAATAAAAAATATTAAATTCTTATTAGTTAATTATAATATAAAAAAATAATACAAAACCCATAAAAAAATTATTGATTTTATAAACAAGATTAAAGAGAATGGAATTTGTAACATAGTATTACTTGAAACATCTTTAATAATTTTTAATGGATATTTATATAATTACTTCAATTTTAACATTTTATTAATTCAATATTGAATTTTTATGATTAAATGATATGTCAATTATTGAAGATTTGTAGTATATGAACTAATAAAAAAGAAAAAATCAATTATAAATTTATCATCATTTAAAAATAGTTATAGATTATGGAAGAAAAGTATATCAATTTTAGGAAATAATATTTAATATAAACAATGTATTTTAATTCAATTAACCATTTCAAGTATTAAGTGTGTTACCTTTCTGTATTTTTCATTTTATTATTTTATTTTATTTTAAATGCATTTTTGTTTAATTTTTGAATAAATCATAATTATATATTTAATGAATATCCACAATAAGCTAGATATTAATAAATATATTTAAGAAAAACCCAAAGTTATCTGATTTTATCCAGCAATCAAGAAATTGTAATCTTATAAATGAAATATTGAAGTAAAAGTAAATACTATTATTGAGATTTCTTAAATAATTATTTATATTTTTTCCAAGGTTGATAAATTCAAATCTACTGATTTTAATACAATTAAGTAAATTAGATTTGTTGTGGTTAACATTATTAATTGAATAAATTAATCATTTTAAAAACATATTAAGTAATAACAAAAGAAAAATTGTTTAAGTAAGTAAAAAGCCTTGTATCTATCATTCATCCTTTTTTTTTTATTTTTAAAGGAATGCTTTAATAATAGTGACATTGTAAATCCTAACGCTGCCAATAAACAATATGAGAGGACAGATTATATTTAGGAAATTTTATCTTTACTTGAATTTGAGGTTAAAAATAAAAATGTTTTAAAAAGTAAATCCCAAGCATTTGCTAACAATATATTCTATACACCATTTTAATTAAATTAATATAAAAAGATTAGGATTTGATGAAAAATATTTTAGGTGAAATTAATGATCTTAAATATAAATCTAAATCGCCAACTCCTAAATTTACTAAATAAGAAATATTTAATGATATTTTTTTCACATAATTTAATGGTAATGTAACAAATAGTATTCAATAAAATTGCTAATATAAACAATGCAATGGCTTAAATGAAAAAGAATTACAGATTAGTAAGTAAATCAGCATTTAAACTATAAAATTTTAATTTACCATAAGACTAAATAAAATCTTAATAGATATATGTTTCAAAGATTTCACCAACTTTAAAGAAATCTAGAATTGGATTGATAGTTATTAGATTAGTGGATTCAAAAAAAAGGTATAGATTTTCTGGATAAATAATATTAATGTATTTTAAATATGATTGATACTATAAGTTATCTAAAATTTCAATAAGCATTTAGAAATTTCCAGAAATTAAACTAATTACACTTATTATTCCTTAAACTGTAATCATAATTTCTTAATATTCAGTGAGTTTTTTAGTTTTATCAATATCAGCTTTATTCATTTAAATGTATTATTTAAGTTAAATTTTTGATGATGGATTAAGTAATTTCATTTGATTTTGATTAAATGCTTCGTTCACAAGTTATATATTAGACTATACAAAACTACTATTAGTTGAAATGAAAAGGCTTATTTCTAAAAGAAATTTAAAATTTAAAACAGTATTAATAGTTGGTTAATGATTTGATTCTAATTTAATTGCATAATCTTCAGTTTTTATGTCATCAATACTAATATCAAAAAGAGATTCAAGTTAATAATTATTATTGAAATAGATTGGTTAGGTGAATGATATATCAATGTAATATTTACTAAATGTTTAATTTAAGAATTTCAATATCATTTAAGGAGATTTAGAATATTGACATTCAGAATATCCATTATAATTTTCAATACATGCATAATCAACTTCTATGTTACAATTAGAAGAACAACCATCAGCATCAATAATATTGCCATCATCACATAATTCATCTTAATTTTTGTTACCATTTCCACAATATTCATAACATTAATTATATTTTAATTGTAATTGTTATTCACATTTATAACAAATACCATCAATACAATTTACACAATTAAGTGGACATGAAAATTGGCAATTATAACATCCATCAAATTATATGTTATTTCCATCATCACAAAATTCTTTTTATTATCTAATACCATCACCACAAATTTAATTCTAAGCATCATCAACATTAGTTTCTTCATTTGAGAAATCATCTAAACATATACCTTGAAAACATTCTTTACACTCTTTTTAACAAGCTAATTAACATTAATGATCAATTTCTACATAATTCTCATAACATATTAAACATTTCTTATCATCCAAACAATATTAACAATCTTCAGAACAAAGATTATTACAATTTAAGCAATCTTCTAAATTTGAATCACATTGTTCTTGAGATAATATAGCTACTTGATTATCTCCACAAACTTATTTGCAATATCCATTAAAAAGTTACCAACCTTCCATACATTATATACAATATGAATTTTAACATTATAGACATTAAATCTGACAGCTCTCTGAACATTGATAACATCCAATTAAATATTCACTCAAATGAATTCCATCTTCAAATAAAAGTATCCCTTTATTTATTCTAGGAATACATTAATTTTTTAATAGTAAATGATTACTTAAGCATTCCAAGCAATTTTTATATATACAAACTTAACAAAGAGGTGAACATAAAGATTCAAATATTTCAACTCCATTTTCAAAAATTGATCTTTCTTGATAATACAAATGAATTTAATTGAAGTTTATGTCATCATAAAAAGCTAAAGAAATTTAATTTACATTATAATTTTTAATTAATTATGAATTTGCTACTTGAAATAAATTTTCATATATTTAATTGCATATTCCATTAGAATAATAATAACCTTTTAGACATTCCTAACATTTACCAAATAAACAATTATGACAATTTAAAGGACATGAAAATTGGCATTAATAACAACCATCAAATGGAAAGTCATTCCCATCATCACATTATTCATTTGCTATAATAAATTTGTCTCCACATAAAGGTTCACAATTATTATTTAATTCATTATAAACCCATTAATTATCACACATAAGACATTATCTATTAACACAAAATGAACATCCTTATTAACATGATTCTTGTTTAGCAAAACAGCCATCAAAAGGTTCTATATTATCATCAATACATGAAATTAAATTTATTGGTCCTCGAAGAATTATTTATAATTCACGAATAGCTATTCTACCATTAATACTTCTGATTTCTAATTTAATTTAATTTCTTGAATCATTAATTATTGAACTTCTATAATCAATATATCTTCTAAAATTAGTAGTAAATTCTAGTTATTATTCATCATTTAAATAAATTCTAATTGTTTATGGTAAATTTGAGAGAAAATCAATTCTAAATTGAATAATTAAGGAACTATGATCAGGTAATAATAAATAATTGATTGCAGATTCTCCTTAATTTATGATCAACATTTTTATTTAAGCTAAATATATTATATGCAAATTTACATAAATTATTATTAATTAGATATGTAAACGATGAAAATTTATTTTTTATCCAACCTTCAAAACCATTGCCGAGATATTATAAATCAAAATATGATTACCATACTTTCCACAAAATACAATCTGTTGTATCATCTAGACAAAATAAACATCCTTTGTAACATTCACGTAATAATATTTAAAAATCAGTAATTCCCCAAAAATTCTTAAAATTTAAAAAGTTAAACAAATACCTATTAATTACAGTCTGATGAAAATCTGGCAATTACTGAATTTAATGTATGCTGACGATAATCAATAAATTATAAAGCACTAAATTCTGTACCAGAACCACCACATAAATTAGATCCTGTATTTGCTACAACATACCAACTTTGGACCCATTAATCTGCAAATATATAAAAGTATTGGGAGGTTGGCCAATCATCAATTCTTAATATAAGATAATATTAAAACTTCCAGTATCTGATATTAATACGTAAATTATAATGAGGTGGCAGAATAAAATATTTCAACACCTAAGTTACTTAAGGTATTGCTGGTGAAGTGCATCCAAAAACTTGGTATCCTCCAAAAATGATGTTTCCTCCACAATTAGTAATATTATTAGTTGCTCCATTATAAGGATTTACGACTGTCCATCCTAAATTAATATTAAAATATTGACCTTCGTTATTAGAAATTTAAGAAGTGACAAAATTCTAAATATATTATGCCTCAACAAAAATTCCCAAGCATTTAAAATAAAGAAACTGCAGAAACATTAAATAAATATTAAAGAAATATAAATATCTTAATGAGTATAAATATTGTCGATTTAATATGACTAAATGTTAGTTATACCTTGTATATCCTTATATTTAACATAATCATATAGATTATTATCATACAAAACTTATTATGTCTAATATGGTTTCATTTCTTTTATTAAAGGTGACCAAGACATTTAAATAAATTTTATTTAATATAAATCATTAGATCAATTATTTCATTGTTATCAAAAAAGGTATGTTCAAGATGATTTCGGAATTCTATATTTTTATGATTATTTTACATTAAACAAGTGCTGATAAGTGATAAAACTGCATTATTATTATGATTAATCTTAATTGCATTTAAATTAAATGTTCTGTGTATTGTTTCACTTTCAAAGAAATTACTTGCAATCATTAATGTGATCACAAAGCTTTATTCTTTTTTCTTAAAAGATAGCAATTAAGAAGATGTAGAAATTTTAACTTATATAAAAATAATTAAAATCTTCATATATTAAATGAATAAGAAATAAATTAAAACTAAAAGAAAATTAAATTAAGTACTTAAAGCAAGAAGCACATAAGCAAAAGAATATGAATAATCAACAAAATTAAAGTTTGAAGGTAAATTTATTTTGCGTAATGATAATTATAAAATTAAAAGTTTTTATATATATATAAATATCACTAAGAAAATTACTACTTCATTGTTAATTAAAAATTATATATAATTTAAGAGATAATCATCAGTCTAACGAACATATGATAAAATAACTTTTTTATCTTAGAGAATAAAGAATGCTCTTTTCAACCATCATTAATTTATATACTTCTTATTAAAAAAATAATGCGCAATTATTAATAAAAATATTTCAGATTTAAGATTTTTGAAAAATAATCTCCGGAATATTTATTGATTCAGTTTCATTTTTATTGAGAATTTCTAAATTAATTAAAAAGGAAATATAATTATTGCAAAATATATTTTTTAATAATNTAATATTATTAGTTGCTCCATTATAAGGATTTACGACTGTCCATCCTAAATTAATATTAAAATATTGACCTTCGTTATTAGAAATTTAAGAAGTGACAAAATTCTAAATATATTATGCCTCAACAAAAATTCCCAAGCATTTAAAATAAAGAAACTGCAGAAACATTAAATAAATATTAAAGAAATATAAATATCTTAATGAGTATAAATATTGTCGATTTAATATGACTAAATGTTAGTTATACCTTGTATATCCTTATATTTAACATAATCATATAGATTATTATCATACAAAACTTATTATGTCTAATATGGTTTCATTTCTTTTATTAAAGGTGACCAAGACATTTAAATAAATTTTATTTAATATAAATCATTAGATCAATTATTTCATTGTTATCAAAAAAGGTATGTTCAAGATGATTTCGGAATTCTATATTTTTATGATTATTTTACATTAAACAAGTGCTGATAAGTGATAAAACTGCATTATTATTATGATTAATCTTAATTGCATTTAAATTAAATGTTCTGTGTATTGTTTCACTTTCAAAGAAATTACTTGCAATCATTAATGTGATCACAAAGCTTTATTCTTTTTTCTTAAAAGATAGCAATTAAGAAGATGTAGAAATTTTAACTTATATAAAAATAATTAAAATCTTCATATATTAAATGAATAAGAAATAAATTAAAACTAAAAGAAAATTAAATTAAGTACTTAAAGCAAGAAGCACATAAGCAAAAGAATATGAATAATCAACAAAATTAAAGTTTGAAGGTAAATTTATTTTGCGTAATGATAATTATAAAATTAAAAGTTTTTATATATATATAAATATCACTAAGAAAATTACTACTTCATTGTTAATTAAAAATTATATATAATTTAAGAGATAATCATCAGTCTAACGAACATATGATAAAATAACTTTTTTATCTTAGAGAATAAAGAATGCTCTTTTCAACCATCATTAATTTATATACTTCTTATTAAAAAAATAATGCGCAATTATTAATAAAAATATTTCAGATTTAAGATTTTTGAAAAATAATCTCCGGAATATTTATTGATTCAGTTTCATTTTTATTGAGAATTTCTAAATTAATTAAAAAGGAAATATAATTATTGCAAAATATATTTTTTAATAATTGTAAGTATATAGTATGTATAAATTTTTTTTTAATTTTGATAATTATGCAATTAAAATAAAGCTGCAGAAAATGAAATTTGAATAGGTTCTAAGATATTTGAGTTCAACTTTCATATAAGATTATTTAAAAGAGCTATAAATCTATATCCAAATAGAACTTAAAATACAAGTAATGTGAATTTAATCCCCTTTATTAGCTATTACTATTATAATTATTGATTTTTAAAGGATTTTAATAGTGGATTATTTTATATCACTTTAGTAAACTTAATTATTTAAATTTTTTCTGACTAAACACAAATTAGAAATTTATTAGAACCTGTTTGGAATTCTAAAGTAAATAGTTTGTTAATTCTCACAGCTCTTAATATTATAGAATAGTTTGACTATAATTATACACAACTTTGAGCACTCCATCATGTTTAGGTATAATAATAAATATACAACTTCCAGTTTCTCTTCCTTAACATTAGAAAGAATTTATACCTAATAAAAACAATAGTTTTTTATATATAATTCTTAATAAAAATGTATTAATTTTATATTCTAGAGAGGATCCATTTGAATTTATTTTAGTCGAAATGTAGTCAATTAATAATGATTATCCAACAATCTTAGATTCTCAAAAACTCAGAATGTTTTATTAATTGATAATAATATTTATAGTTCAGATTTTTTCCGAACTAATTATTTAGTTTATATAATCCTTTGTTTGATCCTTAATTTTACTAATATATAAAATAATGAATTAATCCTCCAGATAGGAATTCTGTTCTACTATTCATTTTATATAAAATATTTTACTCTTTTTTTATAGTTTAGTATTATAAATGAAGTTTTATTAATGTATTTTTGAAAAAGATATATAAATTATAATTGATATTATCTTCAAAGAATTAAAATAATGAATCAATAAGTTAAATAAATTTTCTAATTATTAATTTAAAGGTATAAAAGAAATAAAAGTTTATACTAAACAATTTTATTAAATTTATAGATTAAACATCCTATAATTGACAGGGGAACTAGTTGTTACGTTATTTAACTGTTTAAAATTATTATATCCTGTATAGATAACATATAAGAGAGATTTGAAAACAAAATGATTAGTTTAAAATAACTATACTATATCTTTAATTTTTAATTATATAAAATATATTTCTAACATAATAAATAATTATAATTATATAAGAATGTCAAAGAAAACATCCATTTAAAAAGATTATTTTTGATTCTCATTCCTGAGATGAATTATTTCCACACCAATACCTATTGGTAGAAATACTCTTAAGATTATTTCTATAATTAAAAACCATTTTATATTTTTAAATATATTACACACTATTTAATGGATTAAGATAGCCACATATCAAAGTTTGGTTTAATAAAAGAATTCCACAATTAAATCAAGTGTTAGGTATTGACAAAAAATTAACTAATCTCATCGAGAAACTAAACATATCAGATACAACATTAGAAATAGGCTCAGACTAACCTTATAATCTCTTTAATCTTATGTTAGAATTAACCGAAAATGAAACAATATAATATTATAAAAGATCATTAATTATAAGAATGGTTGAATAGAATGTTAATTTATTTAAATTCCTAATTTATAAATTCATTATTTTTCCAAATACTCTAAGAGAGAATAAGGATATTTAGTATTTGAATATCTATTATACACTAATTATGTATCGAAAATGATTTTTGAATAATATAGTTGCTATATATTTTTATTTTAATGCAAAGAAGGTTGCAATAAAGAAGAGTGCATTTAAAATGTCAAATAAAAAAGGTAATTTTAGTTAATGAAAATAAGTTAAAATAATTTATTATGATATTTACATATTGATTAAATAAAAAATTTTAAAAGATTAATCGATTCATTAAAATTCTAACTTTATCCTATTTAAAATTTAAATTAAGAGGAAATTAGTTATATAAGTATTAATAGAAATTTTATAATATCTCAGAATCTTAAGGAAAATTAATGGCCATTTTTGTTTTAACTGAAATTTAAATTGTGGATGGAGTTTTTTCAAAGAATAGAAAATAAAAAAAGAATATAGAAATTAATTTGATGTAATTATGAACCATATTTTAAATTTATAAAAAATTCAATAATTAAAACCTTGTTTGGTTCCTAATTTCATTATTAAATTAAAATCATATTTATTTTTTTATATTTTTGGATTCAAGTAAGGCTAATATTTCCCAGGCTAAGAACAATACAGTCCTCATCAAGCCCTAAAGCGATTAAGGATATCCCTTTAGAAAAAAGAAAAAAAAAAGTCTACTGAAAGTAACTACCCTTAATGAAAAGTTATAGACCATTAATTTTTGTTATTTAGTCCAATGTATCTCACTTGATATGGACAATAATAGTGGATAGCTGAAGATCCGGCTATAATGAATAGCATTAGCATTAAAAATACAATTTTTGATGAATTTTGATAAAATTATAAAATTATTTCTTAAAAGTGTTCAAAATTAATTTAACTCTTTCAATTATCATATTTAACTTGTTTATGAATAAGAGGATAAACTTATATTAAAATGTTTTTCTATTTCTTCATAATTTTACCTAAAATATCTTGTTATCATTTATATGATATCAAATATTGCTCATTCTCTATAAGATAATCTTCTCATCACTAAAGATTGAAGGATGAGAATATCTTCAAGAAATTAATCTTGCATTTATTATTATATTTTGATTGATGCATTTTTATAATTGACACAGTTAATTAAAAAGCAGACAATTTTAGTAAATTTATTCAAAATAATTAGAAAATATAGCTTTATTAAGCTTACAACATTTTAAAATAATCTATAACACTGCCTATTGTTTTCTTTTATTGAATGAGTGTAATTGAACCTAAGGACTCCACAAACTTTTATGTGAAATGAAAGAATAGGATATAAGTATTTCAGATCACTTGTAATTTAATTTATTAAATAATGTTTATTTGAGTTAGATAAATTCATTGATGATAGAATGATTGATGCAATTAATTCGAACTATAATCTTAAAAATTGATTTTAATATAAGTAATTAATCAAAAAACTAATTTTGAGCTTCAGAAATTCTGTAATTTAATAATCTAAATTATATTATACATTATTTAAAAAATAAACTGTTTGAATCCAAATATCATGATAATTAAAAATTAAAGGTGAACATTAATTTAAATCTGATCATCAAAATAATATTTAAATTTAAAAATATATCAAGATAGTAATGATAATATGCAGTGTTATAGATTANTAAATATAATCAAATTTTAATAGAAAGGATATATTTATTTTTAAATAAACTAATTCATATATATTATTCTATTCTTATACTTAATTATATATTTTATATAAATATCAAAACTGGATTTTATAAATGATAATAAATATTTCGTTTGATTAAATTAAGAATGAGTTCGAATTCAGAAATAGGACTCTTCTTCGCAACCAAATAATTTGGTATAAACTTGGCATCATTACTTTATTAAAAAACAAAGTGATTACTTTAGTAATGATAATAATTTTTTGAATTTTTTCTTTATATACATATGTAGTATTTTTAAAATATGGGTTTATAAAATTGTATTTCTAATATAAATACATAATTTTTTTAATTAGATTGTCTCATCAAATTTTGAGATTCATACTACAACCACACTAAAAATTATAAAAAAAATTGAATTCTTTATTTTTTGATTATAGTGGAAATAAAAAAAATTTATCAATTTGAAAGCAAAAATGAAAAAGATAAAATATAATCTTGATAGGAAATCCAATCTAATAAATGAAAATTCAAACTTAAATGGTTGGATGAACTTTATTCTCACCAGATTCCACTATAATCAAAATTTTATGAGATATCTTGTTAAAAAAAAATAACTAATCTTTATTCAATCCTTAGTAATGAGGATTGCATTTACCTTATTTTCTCTATTACCCTACAGAATGCCAAAACAGAGATTTTCTCATAATAAAAATAATTATTAATTTTGTAGCATTTTGTTGTTGTTTTTTATATAGTTATAAACATTATCAATATAGTCATATATTTGAAGAGATGTTTTTAAAGAAATAGGTGTAAATTACATTCTAATAAAAATATGCCTATGCAACATTCTTATTAATACAAACTTATTGATTTAAATATAATGAATAAACAAAAAAAGATTACATGCATAAGAAAAAATGAAACTTATTCAATAATTAAGGAAATAATCACCATATTTCAAAAGAAAGAATCTCAAATAAAAATAATAAACATATTTAGTAATTATTCGAAAAAAATACATTTTAAGCAAGTTGTATGCTGTATAATAAGAATAAATTACAACATCAAAACTATAGCCTATTTTAGTTTAAAATTTAAAAGAATTTATGTTTAAATTAGGTAAGCTACAAATAAAGACTTATATACTTAAAAATCATATTCATAAAACATAAAAATTATATTTTTTGTCCTTTAGATTTGTTATTGAAGGATGAATTATTAACTATATTATTGAAATTTTGAACTAAATAATAATGATAATTATCTAAGTAATTCAATTATTTATTGAGGGTAGTGGAATAAAAAAATGAGTTTTTATAACAAAGTTTGTTCAGATAACATTTAATTTTTAGATATATTAATTATTATTATTATAATTAGTATAAAATTAAATTATTGATTATATTGAAAGAATTTATTAAAAAAAATATGGAATAGTTATGCTTTATTAATATATATTATTCATTTTAATATCCCTATGATTGTAAAACTTAGGAAAGTAATTTAATATTAGAAAGTACACTATAATTAAAGTGTTCAATTTCTATTAATATCGAATTTGAACAAAATATAGATCCTGACGAATTATAAAGATTATTATTGTATTAAATTATTTTAATATCTTATAATGCAATCCCCTCTTAAAACAATTGAAAGTTTAGACTAACCAAATGCTTACCAAATGCCAGATTATGTAAATAGTACTAAGAGTACAAGTTGCTTAGATATTTTGGGAACTTAGAGCGGAATTTACATTTAATAAACATTTAAGTAATTCTATATGGGATTAAACGAATTTAAAGTATACGGTGCTAATCATTTAGGAGAGGAAATAAAATTTAGATAATTATTCAAATGTTATGAGTAATCTTCAGATTGCACAAGATTTTGGTTAGGGTACTTTCTTTCAATTATTTAGTCCATAAATAAGGCCATTTGAGATGATGGTAGATAACTATTAATATAAAAGTTTTTATTCAAATATTAGTTATCAATAGACATAAAATTCTGATCTAACTATTTTTAAATTTAAAAGAGAATACTAATGCACTTTCTGTTGTTTTAATAGGTATTTATATATATAAATGTTAGGCCTCGTCTTGAGGTTCATTATGTAGAAAATGGTTAAAACATATTTTTAGGATACATTAGTGATCCTGTTTATTGTTGCTAAATTGGAAGCAATATTTTTAATTCTAATGGCGATTTGATATTTAAAATAGAAGCAAATACTTGCCAAAGTTATTTTTGGTTAAGGTGTCCATGCAGTGTGGAATGTAATAAAATTAATTTTTAAATCAAACTTCCAACAGGATAAGTGGGTAAAATATATATAAATTAATATTATAGTTGCTCCTATATAAAAGTAGATTAAAACTTGTCTTAATAGTTAATAAAATAGATATTCTGATAATATAAATATTCTTTTCCCTAAGTAAGCATCAAAAGAAGATAAAGCTTTAATACTAGCTGCCACAATTATGATTGAATTCATGTATTTTGAAAAGGATATCGTTTGATTAATGAAATGTTTATGATTCTTGCCAGAATTAATATAAAATTACATTTAAAAGTTTTCATTTTATAGTGTTTTCTATAAGAAATATAAGTTATAGAGTTCTTATTGATGTATATTATTTGCTTTATATGATATTCTTCAACTGTTTCCTCAGGTTAACAAAATAATTATCATTTATTTTAAATAATATATTTAATTAATTTAAACTTAAAGAATATTAACCAATTATAGGTGTAGAGCAATTTTACAAAATTTGATAAAAATTTTGGAAGAACACTTTAATTTTTGTTTTCACTTAATAATTATTTTATATTAAATTGTCTCATTAAAATTTTGAAGTATAAAGATATTTTATGAATGGAAATTTCTAATTTTCAATTATTTAAACAAAGCGCAAATCATTCATATTCATCATAATTAATAAATAATATAAAATAATTCATATTATTCAACATTTATTTATTAATTTTATAATAATATATAAATTCAAACTAAAATATGGAATCGTTTAGTAATTCAATATCAATATCTTTTGATATTAAATAATTCCTTTTAAAATTAATATTCTCTTAAAACAAATAAACAAAAACTTAATCTACAACAATTAGTTCTTAAATTAAAATACTTAACAATAATATATCAATATATAGTCTTTTGAAACATAAGAAGGAGAAACTTAGAAGCGAATTTATTTTTAATGTATTTAAGTCAAAATTTACTATAGACCAGGGTGAATTTTAAGATTCTTAAATTAGAGTTAACCTTATTAAGAAAATGTATAATTTTCTGGGTTTGGAGTTCTCAGTTAATTTTTTAATGGCTGTTTTAGGTCTTTCCTCAGATTAAAAAAAATGGCATTTTTACAGAGTTACAGAGGTTCTTATATGTTATTAAAAATATTTAATTTCTTTGTCATTAAAATGAAAATTATCCAAAATTTTAATTTTTGAATTTTCACAAACACCCAAAAATGGAAATAGTTCTTATGATGCATTTAAGTCAAATTACTAAATGTATGTTTAATACATATTTCTATTATTATTTTATCATTTTTAGTAAATTAAAATGATAATTATTTACTATGACCGACCATCTTTAAAGATTAATACAATATTTTATTAAATAAACTCTATCATCATTTTTTAATGGACGATTTTCTATTTATTTAATCACAAACTAACATTAATTTTATATTTTTTAATATGATCAAATAAATTTGTTAATTGATATGGAACTTGAGGATGAGAAATAATTATACCAATTTTTCTATGTATTTGGAATATAATTTAACAGCTTTACAAGATTCAAAGCATATTAGTTTTAACATTATTTTTCTGTTCTGGATTAGGGTATTTTAATGACCATTTAATAATTTATTATATCCATAAAATTGAAATTCCTGTCAATGCATATTCATTTTTTTAAATATAATAGATATAAAAATAACATTGTTTTCTAAGCTTTGGTATAATTATTTGTTTTTGAAATAAATTAATATACAAATATTCTAATTTAATCAGAATTATTAATTAAAATATTCCTTGTAGGAAAATTAATGATTTTATGAAAATAAAAATAAATAAAAAAATCAAACTTATGAATTAATATCAATGGGAAATCCTTTTTCATAATTAACATCTAATCAGAAACCTTTATATCTCATGATAGGATTGGATGCTGCAGGAAAAACAACTATTTTATAAAAACTAAAATTAGGAACAGTGGAAAGCTAAACTCCAACGATAGGATTTAATATAGAAAAAATATAAAGTAAAAAGTTTGATATAATATCTTGGGATATTGGAGGAGCAGATAAATTAAGAATAACTATGAAACCTTATTTTTAAGATAGTAAAGGAATAATTTATGTTATTGATTGTTTTGATAAAGAAAGAATGGATGATGCAAAGCATCAATTACAAAAAATTTTGCTTGACTCTTTACTTATTGGATAACCCCTTTTAGTTTATGCAAATAAATAAGACCTAGTAAAAATGAATTCAATAGAATTAGCTATAGAATTGATGATACAAAATCTTTCTAAAAATTGGCATATTTAACCATGTTGTGCAATTACTGGTGAAGGGCTTTAAGATGGGTTAAATTGGATTCAAAAATAACTATTGCTCAAATGAAAAATATATTATTAATGAAAAGAGTTCCAGTATAAATATGTAATTAGCTGTTTAGATAAATCTAGACTTTTAATATTGTATAAGTTATTGTTATGAATATAAATTAAATTTTTTTTTTGATTTTCCAATTAGTATCTAAATAATGAAAACATTATCTTAATACTTTATCCTAAAAATTCTACAATTTTAAAATTACGATAAAATTTCTGAGGTATATTCAGATTAATGATTCATAATGGTAGTTGATCTTAAAAGTACATACAAAGAATGAATTTTCAGCCTTTTAGACTGGAAAAGCAGAGAATCTTATAAATTATAAAATAACTTTAATATAAATAATTAGAAATTAATCACATTGTTCTGTTTTTACAAAATAAGGATGGTATTTAGTCAAAATGAAATCAATTATATTTAACTAAATTGAATAATAGAATTCTATGATTATTTTCTGAATATGTATATATTTAATTTTCTAATTAATATGATGACTTTATATGAATTTTTATTGATTTATTAAAGGATATATTTATTTTATTTATTTATATACTTTTTACATTTCCAAAGAATACAAATTTGATTAAAATTGACTTTCAAACAAAATTTGTTTGCTTTTACTAAATTTATTATTTTATGAAAATATGAATTAAATTTAATATTTTATATATTATATCAATTGGAAACTTCAAAGAATTTTTGATATGTATTATAAAATTCTGTTTTTATCTTCAAGTAATCTAATCCATTTTTTTTTAGATAATTAATTGCTTTTTAATAAATTAATTACCATGAAGCTATATCATTTTAGCAATTCAATTCTAAATAAAATAAAGCAATAATTGTTGTCCATAAAATGTCTTCATAATGATTATCATTAGTTAAACAGCTGAGTTTGATTGAATCAGCTATCCTTTTTTCTAAAATAAAGCTTCCATTTGCTTATACACATTATAGTAAATCAATATAATTTATTAAATCAGCTGATTGTTATGAATTTTGAAAACTTGATTGTAATTCACATTCATATTACATATCCATTTACTCTTCCATAATTTCATTCTCTATATCATCTCTACTAAAAAAATTGTCCATACATATGTGTTTCATAGGAAAATCTACAGGCGAAATCTAATCACTATCAGATTTTAAATCATAAAAATTAGGTTAATAAGTTTGAAATTTGATCACTCCATATTTTATTTTATTATTTTAATAAAGTATTTTTTCTTTAATTAACTATTTAAACTCATCTTCCAAATGGCAGACTTCACAAATATATGCCGTTTTACTGCACAAGATTTGATTTGATATGGATAAATTGATGATGTCTTCATTATTCAATATCTCTTAATTGATCTTAATTTTATTGATTTATTTTATGTTATTTTCAAGGGAATCCTCATAATAATTTATCAATTTATGAGCTGCAAGTTTATGAAAATAATCTTATTATTATGATTCACTTATTTTCACTTTGTATATGTGCGATATTTGCTTTTATTTTTAAGGATCAAAACAATTGATCTAAAATTCTAGTGTTTCTGAAACGGGTGTTGGAAATAATATTTATATCAATAATTCTTCATTTTTTTTAATAGTAGTAATATATTCCGGATCAGGTATAATTTGCGATATATTTATTTCTGGTAAATCTAATTTAAATCCCTATAAATATTAAGTCATAGAATTTTCTAACAAATCCATTACTTTAGCATTGATGTCTTCATCATCTGAAACAAATTAACATTTACCATTTCCAATTTCTGCAGTTTTTTTTAATAAATACTAACTACATCCATCTCCAATTCCTAATGTATAAATTCTAAAATTAGGTTTAGTTTAATTTTAAACTAACTCTAAAATTTTATTTGGAGAATCCTCTCCATCTGTTAATAGAAAAGCATTATAAGTTTCTGAATCACTTTTACTATCTTTATCATTATATATGCCATTTTTCAGTGCTTCATATATCTCAGTACCTCATAAATCTGCCTACATTTTATTTACTTATGAGATTGCTTCATTTAAGGTTTACTAATTATATTATTAGGGTTTTTCAAACATTTTTACTGATTTGGTTCCGAATGATATAACATTAGAAAAACAATCTTTAGGTAAACTTTTTAAGAATAAATTTAATGATTGTTTTGCTTTATTTATTCTTTTTCCTTCCATTGAAGCACTTCTATCAATAAAAAATAATAATTTCCTCTATTTGCTTTTTTTTCTGTAGGTAAATTTAACCCATTTAGGAAAGATGAATAAGCATCATCTAAAGATACTTCATTAAATTTTGGGATCAAAGTTAATGTTGCACAATATTTAATATGTTATAAAGCATCATTATTAGTATGAGTAAGAAAAGAATGAGGTTAATTGATATCATTAGATGAAAGTAACAGCTCAAATTTTTTATTTGGGGCAAAGTTATCTGGAAATTTATCGTCAAGAATGATTACTTAACCTTTTGTAAAGTTTTATTTAATTTATTAATGATCATCAGGATTAATGATAATTTAATGGGTTGGTGATTTTACAAATGTTATTGGTTTCTATAAATTAATGTATGTTGTTATGTATTATCTATAATTTTACTAGTAACCTTGAATATCCACACTTTGTTATATTTGTTTATATAAATAAGGATAATTGACTGATTAGTTTTTTAACTAATAGACTGTAAGATAACTTGAATCTACCATTGGTGATAATTCAAGCATCCAAAATTAATTTAAATACAATTTTAAAGGCTGAATATATTCAAAAGTAATTTTTAAAGATTTTCCAGGAGCTAAACATCCAATCTTCACTTATTTTAAATCTGGTATTTTTTAATCCTATTAGCTAATGATCATAGTTTTTCCATCTTATATGCCTTATTGATATTCTTTTTTTGCTTCCTCCAATTCTTTTACAATGCCAAAGACTTTTATATCACCTAATTCTGCTACCATCTTACTAACAACTGAATCCTTTTAGATAGTAAACATATATTCTAATTCAATTGGAACTTCATAATGCTATGTGTTATAATTCTATTATATTTCAACAATCGCTAAACCAGATTAGACATTTAGAACATAATTTACCGATTCGAGTGATATTTGTAATTTATTCTTAGAATCATAACAAATAAATAAGGAAGGAGCCTAAATTTCAGAGAAATTTGATTTATCATGATGCAAATACCCATCAATATTTGGATGAAACATAATTACTATTAATATTTTTAAATTGTCCTTCTTAAATTATGCTTTTATACTAAAAATTTAGATTTAATTAATCAGATTTAAATAGAAAATATTCTACTTAATAATGAGATATAATTTTTATAAATCATTAGTTTAAATTTTAAAAAGCTTCTATCTCTATTATATAATTTCTGATTGAATAGAATAATTAATTTTATATCAATTCTAATAATTTCTAATGATTATATATGAATATCAATTATAATATAAGAGTGTTAATTATACTACTTTAACGATTCATTTTAATTATTCCAAAAATAATTCTATTTTAGTTTTTTTGTATGGTTTATCCTACTCAACTATTTTCATATTAATAATGGTCCAATTATACATATAATTAACAATCTGTAGACTTTTTCAAGGCAATAATTTAGAATTAATAATGATTTACATACTTTCTACTCAGCATTATATTTATAATAAAAAAAGTATTTATGATATCATTAATGATCAGATTATTTATTTTGTAACTCAACTAAAATTAATAAATTTTAAATTTCTCTACCTATTAGCTTTCCAAATATATTTAAAGTAACAGTGTTACAAAATTATTAAAAATAATTAATCTATATTCAAGTAATATATGTAAATAAATTTTATTTTTAAACCAAAGAAATGCAAGTATAAGAGACAGATAATAATTAACAAATTATTAATAAATAGATATATATTATATCATGCAGAAATATCCTTTCTAATCTTATTTCCTTTATTCTATTGTCAATCAAAACATTAATAATTCACCATAATCACCAAAAGTTCCATAAGTCAAATCATAGTAATTATTTCATAGAAATTATTTATTTTTAAATATGAATTAATATTTTTAAATTATTAAGATTATGCTTGTCTAAATCTAAATAAGTTCTAATTAATAATTCTGATTCTACACATTAGAAATCTTATTTATAATTTTGTTTTTTCTTAATAATGATAAACCAAATAAGTAAATGAATTAAAAAATTATTATCACCTGTAATATATCACAACTTGCATGTTATTACTATAATTCTTGAGTTAGAAAATTAATAGAATTTATATAGTTTGATTTAATACAATTTATTTTCTAAATCAATAATCTCATTTATAATTTTTTTGTGTTATCATCCTAAGTTATTAAGTATTCTGAGTTGTCACTTAATTGACCAAATATAAGTCCTGTTGATTCTTAACCAAAGCTAATTGATGATTCAACAAAAAACTTTACTTTTTATTATTTTTTAGTCTCTTTCTCTTTTCTAATGATCATTTTTATGATATTAATAAGAAAGCCATTTTATATATATAAATTGAATTTCATTTTTCCATAAAGAATAAACTAATGATTTTGCATGGTTTTTTTGAATTGATTTCACACTAGTGAAAAGTAAATTTAAGGATTATTAAACTCTCTTTACCTTTAAGCTCTAAATAAAGAAACTTTTAACGTTTTCCTATATTTAAAATTAGAATATATATATCCTTCTTCAAATAAATTGATTGCAAATTCGAATGATTTCACTAAATGGATAGAGATTTTCTGAAGAGATGACTCTAAAGTTTAAAAGCGATTTATTTTATAGAATTATTGTTATTGTTATGATAAATTAATCAAATAAACTATATAAGAATTACTAAAAAATTATGCTTCTAAATAGAAATTCTACTTGACTTTGAACATAATTGTCTAAGAAAAAAATATTTTAGAAACTATTTCCTTTCCCATTTAAATAAAAATTGACTTTCATATATTTCAAAACCTAATTACTCTGCTAATCTACTTCAAAATACTTTTTGTGTTTAAACTAAGTAGTTTTATAAGATTATTGAATATGTAAAATATGTCTTTTCTAGTCATAATTAATAATTATAATTTGATTTAAATTCAATATTTATTTTTTATATAAATTATTGAGGAATAGTTTTAGTTTATTATATATATGTCCTTTATACTCATTAAGAATATTTATTACGTATATAATGATATTCAGATAAAAGATTTAAACCCTCTAATAATATAAAGACTATTAAATTCACTATATACATATGCAATGATGGTAAAAAAGACTTCCAATAACTTTAATGATAGGTATAGCTTCGGCATTTATTTAATAATTCATTTCTTATTATTGACAAACTAATTTATATTTTATATAGCCTATCATGTAGCATATTATAATTTTAATAAATAATTTACAAAAGAAATATTATATTATTTAATTATAATATAAATTAATCCAAAAAATTTCATTCTTTTTCATGCAAAATTAAAAAAAATGGAAATAAGACAAAGATATAATAATCAATATATTTATTCTGTTTTGGATAGTAATCCATGTATGCTAAATACCAATGATTCAATATTTTCTGCCTAGGTATCTTATAATAAAACTCTTTACTTTTCTCTTTTAGTTATGGGCATTTGGTCACCATAAATATAAAATAATGCTATTTTCAAATAAATTGAAATTTTATTGCGAGACACTTGAAGAGAAAAGATGAGAATATTCATGCATCAAGATTAAATTGTTTAATTCAATTTAAATTAAGTATTATATATTCATGAACGATTATTATATTTTGCTTTATGGAAGTTTATCAGGTTTTATAGCAGAAATTGTAGGAAATTTATCAAATTATTGGAAATATATGGGACATTATCATTCAGATAATCCATTTTTATGTTCAAATGGAATGTTCAATAATTTGGATGAGAAAAGAATGTAATAATTCAAATTTACCATAGATTTATATAATAGAGATTGTTTAATGATTTGGAGCTCAAAAAATTAATAAATAAATTGCTATATGATG